TCCATTTTTATATTACCAAATTGTGTATATATTCATATATTTTATGAAACCATAGTTTAAATGTGTATAGTATTTGTCATTAGGTACGAGGGAGGCTTGATAAATTGTTTTTTTCAAACAACTCTTTCATATGAAATTGAGCTGGTTCTTACTTGTGGCATTAATGTAACACACTCATTATAGTTGTTAATATTAGTGAGAAACACTTAAATTGATACATGGTGCGACAATAGTTGGGTCATAGGTCATTTTTCTTTTCTTTTTCTAATCAAAATAGCATTTAGGTATTTTTACCTATAGGATAGAGTTGCAAATGGGTAAACCAGTTGGCAGGGCATTGTGTTTGTCGCCTTCTTGCATTCAAGTTCAACTGTGTACATGTTTGATGAAAAGTATGAAAAAGGAAAGAACATAATGGGTTAAGTCAGTTGGCAAGACATTGCATGTGTTTGCCGCCTTGTTGCATTCAAGTTCAATTGTGCACGTGTTTGATGAAAAGTACGAAAACAGAAAGAACAAAATGGGTTTAGTTAGTTGGGGCAGGGCATTGTGTTGGCCGCCTTGTTGCATTCAGGTTCAACTCCGTAAGAATTTGATAAAAGTATGAAAAAGGAAAGAACAGAACATGACAAACAAAACTGTTTATGTTTCATTTAAAGAGTCAATGATAGTTAATGAAATCGATAGAATTGGTCAATGAGTTTATCCAACATAAATCATTTTGGTTATTCTGTAAAAAAAAAAAAAATCGTTAATATCCTTGTTAAATTGTTATGTGAACGACCGCGTGCCCACCTTTTTAAAGGTATTTTTGTCAAACCAAAACCTCCACTTAACGAGCATATTAATAGATTTATCGCGAAATGACCAAATTGATTTACGGTAGACAAACTTATGGACCACTTCTATTGGTTTTCATTATCAAGGATTAGAATGAAGAATTATGTCAACCTCATGGACCATTTTAGCTAAAAACCTAAGATGAATTGATCTTAAACTAACTTGACGACTTAGTAGGAAGAATCAACAACGGTTAAGATAGACAATTTGCAAAAATAATGGAAGAAACATAATTCAGTTCCAAAATTTTTGGACCCACATTTTTTATAAAAGCAATATTGAGAGAAAGAGAATTGAACCTAGAACTTCGTGTGTTCTCTTAACTGCTTAATCTACAAATCACTTGCATGACCGACCTTTCTATTCCGACATTTTGTTACCAATTTTTACTTTTTTGGTATTTATCATAACTTATGAAATAGAACTTGATATTAGTACGAATTGTGTGGATTACTGTTTGGTCTAATACTCAATTTCTAATTCAAATCTTAGAATGACGTTAATTTAAATTTTAAATTTTTTCAGTCCATTAGTCAAGAAAAAGAAAAGAATCCTCTCATGAACCAAAACTTATGACACGATGAAATCGACAAGAAAATATCATATCGTGACCTCAAGTGAAAAAGTACTTAGAAAAGAGCATTGTTCTAAAACGTAATTATAATTTTTCGAAGGGTTTATCTAAAATATATTTCCGCCAACGTTCATGAATGTAAATTATTTGTAATGGAAAAAAAACAGTAATTCTGCACTTTGTTTTTTTTATATTATTATGTTACCTTTAAAATGATACAAAAACTCTCACACATTTTGGCATATTGCACTTTATAATTAATTAAAAAGCACAATTAGATAAACCCAAAAAAGAAAAAAAGAAGCTAAGTGCAAAAGCCCATAACGCGTGATCCGCACGTGGGGATGAGAAAATCCTAATCGTTCATCAAGCACACCTTACCAACGATCCTAATTCTGGAATCTGGTCCCACGGTTGGTGGGGTCCTGCATAAAGCATAAATCCACTGGTAGGGAATAGGGACAGAAAGGTAAATGACAACGTTCCTCTCATTTGAGCTTGTCTCTTCTCCTATATACCAAGTTTTTGTCTCTTGTCCCATTTATATTATTTAAATTTGATGTGCTGGTGTTAGTTGGATTGAGGAATCTTTGGCCGTCAAGGCTGGGTTTAATTTTAATGTTTTGAAAATATGGATTACAGAATAACAAAATCATCGCAGAAAAACACGAGTGATTTTCTGGTTGTAAAATTTAAGGGGATGTGTGCCATTTGACTGCTGTGAAGGTGAGCTGAAATGCTTTTAACTTTTCGAGCTTCATTGGAGATTAATCATACCCTTCAGAGTATGTAATATCTTAGATTTCAATGAAAGATAAAATAAGAAAATCATCCTAATTTTTTATTTATTTTTAATGTGTCAAGTAATGTTGTTTTTTCTTACTAATTTTTTTTTTGTTCGTTATTCAAATTACTGAGTAGTCTCGAAAATTAACGATTAGATATTACATAAAGGTATATGATGACTCTTTGCAACGTCTACGAGGCAACTAACATAAAGCTACCGTAACTCAAATTTTCATCATAAATATACATTATCTTTATTCACGTGAATCAAATTAATTATTTTTAAAAAGTAAGTAGACATAATTTGTAACATCCCACATCGTCCAGGAGAGTGAATCATGTAAGCCTTATATGTATATTCTCATCTCTACCAAGCACGAGGCCTTTTGGGAGCTCACTGGCTTTGGAGTTCATCGGAACTCCGAAGCTAAGCGAGTAGCGCGCGAGAGCAATCCCATGATGGGTGATCCACCGTGAGGGCGTGATCGGGACTCAAAGCGGACAATATCGTGCTACGGTGGAGTCGAGCCCGGGATGTAATGGGGGTTCGGACAGGTTTGTGACATAATTAGTGAATGCAAATTCGTAGTTAGTCTAAGTATAATTTGATTATATGATATGGTTCTCAATAGAATTCAAGTTTTTGGGAAGAAATGGTTTGTTATGGTGGTTCATATTGTTAGTTAATTATTTCATTAGACTCTAAAATCGATTCCATAAGTGCCAACTATCGTTGTTTTTTTTAATGTGAATAAACAGGAAACATTTAAATAAAGACACAATAATTATGGCTACAAAAATATGTACCAAATGACAGGGCTGCCTCCGTTTATTTGGAAGAAATTTTCTAGTACGCCGAAAATACAACACGGTATATCAAGTGTTATAATACAATAGGTTGAAAAATTGGAAGGAAAAAAAGTTCAACTAGCTAGTTCTCCCTAATCAATTCCATGAAGCACACATAACTTCCTCCAGCAAGCAGCAGCTTTTCATACACCAATCTTCCAAAATAATAAGCAGAAGGTGCATAACAAAACTTTAGGGACCGTTTTATAAATGTTTTGTTTTTAATTTATTTTCCTTCAATTTTTTTAAAACTGAAATTTTGTTTGGTAACTAGTTTTAGTTTTCAAAAAACTGAACACTGAAAACTATTTGTTTTCAAAATATGGCCTTGAGTTTTCACTTTTTAGTTTTTATTTTTCATTTTTTTAATTAAAAATAGTTACCAAATAAAATTTAAGTTTTCAAAAAATAAAAGCTAAAAACTAAAATTGAAAGGGTTGGCAAACGGCCCCTTACCAATTTATTTTTACGATTCAATATTCCATAACCTCTATAAATGGACATAATTCGAACGTAGGTGTACATAACGAACACTAACCTAACATACGTCTGCAAAACAAACCTTTAATTGAAAAAAATGTGATTTGAGACCACCACTACCATTTCTTTTCCGTTTTAATGTAAGGATCAAATCTAGTTAGGGAATAAGAATTTGTGATTGATATAGTTCTTTCGTATCTTTTTTGTGTGGTGGCAACTTGGAAGCTTATGAATGCATTATATATGTTTGGGAGAGCAGGTTGACTTTTAGGTTTGGTCCAACAAGTTCTCAAGCTAGTTGACTTTTGGACTGTGGATGAAACCATGGAGCTTCATGTCTTTGTGGAGGTTGAACCAGTAAGAAGATTAGTGATTTGATTGCTGCCAACGTCATGAGAGAGAGAGAGAGAGAGAGAAGAAGAGAGAGAGAGAGAGAGAGGGGTGGGGGGGGGGGGTCGGTTTGGCGAAGAGAAGAGGAGGGAGGGGTCTCAATACTCTCAACCATCATTTTTTCGATTAGTGGATCATCAATCTCTTGTGAGACTCTAAGCCATTGATTCCTGATTAGATACATATATATCAATGACTGACAATCATTTATTTGTGTCTAAATCTCAAGACTTTCAACCATCATTTTTCGATTAATGAATCATGAGTCGCTCTTAAAACTTTGAGTCATTGATTCATGATCGAACACACATACATTAATGACTAACAATCACTCGTGTTTGTGGCTTTTGAGGAGAAATTTTTTAGCATACTAAGAACATGACCCAGTACATCAAGTGTCATAATATTGGCTGAAATTCTATTTTTTTTTTCAAATATCTAACCCTGTATATTATAATACTTAATATACCGAATCATAAATCCGACATTCTGAAAAATCTCTGGTTCTTGAAATAAGAGGTCATTAGAAACCACTTTATGGTGTGGGAAAAGTGTGTCACACACTAGGAGCTAGGTGCAGATTGTAGAGGCACTCACACACCAAAGCACCGAGGGAACCATCTCCACCACCACGATGACCACCACAACATTTGTCATTTGTTGTATATTTTAAACTTTCTTGTCGCCTATGATTGATTACCTCATTTGCCTTACAAAGTAAAATTGCTAGAAGATAACAGAAAAAATAGAAACCAATGGACTCATCCATGGAAACCCGATTCACATCCCAAAGCAAAAAAAAAAAAAAAAAAAAAAAAAAAAACTAACGAAAAGTACTTAAAAATTTTAGTTTTAATGAAAATGATAAAATAAATGTATAAATGAACAGTATCAGGAGTGACTTTTCAAGGTAAAAATGTCTTACGTTAAAAGTGAACGATACCAATATCAGAAAACTAACAAAAAGTTCTCAAAAACTTTAATTTTAATGAAAATAACAAAATAAATGTGTAAATGAATAGCATCAGGAGTGACTTTTCAAGGTAAAAATGTCCTTAACGTTAAAAGTGAACAATACCAATACCAGTACCAGAAGTGTTTCATTAAAATTTCCAAAAAAATATCTATTACAGTACCCAGTTCACTCAAGGAAAAAATTTTTTTATCCATTCCGTTACACATACGCTCTTTTACCCTTTCTACAACAATGGTCGGATCACATATCGTGAAATACATGCTACATCGAAAATGCACGAGAAACTTAGAGAAATCAGCATCCCATCATCAAAAGAAATACATGGCATGGGAACAATGTATCTTCTTTTGATGGTGGGAGAGGCAGTATCATACTATATTCTCTATCGTACCTGAAGAGAACACAAAAATGGTTTCATAGCGAGGCCCCCTAATTGTTTCCTCCACGAACCCATCTAGATGAACCCGTCTTTGCCATGCCAGAATAATAATCACCTACATTTGCCACAAATAGCGGATCTCTATCTTCAAATCTTAACTCATTACTTGTATCGCTACCAAAACCATTTCCTGAATCCGTCTGCTCCAACTCTTTTGTTAAATCCTCCATCGTCTTCTTTAAATTTGCTTTACTCATTGGCCCTGCCTCACCAGTTGAAATGCCAACCATAGTAATCTTAGGAAGGTTTGGATTTTGTAGTGAGCTCTGCTCTATGCTGTTCGTTTGACAGCTCTTCATTTTGGTCCCTTTGTTTCGACCACAGATGACTAAACCAATCTCCGAAAGGAAACCGGAGTTTTATTTTGTTTCCTTTATTGGTGTGAATATCATCCTTTAATTTAATCTCCGAAGTGCTACAATCTAGAGAATCTTCAGTATCATCTACTGCTTCGCCATTGCCAAGGCATCTGGCTGGCTGAGAAGCTCTGAGGAAAGAGGCCGCACTCCTGCAACAGAATGAACATGATTTTGTTAGAAAAAGCCTAAAAGATAGAACAAGCCAGTTTATTAGCATCCAGAAGCACCCAAGTTAAAATTCAAAGAATGTTTAATTTGAAAAAAAAGGTATTTGATATCTCGAGAAAGCAATTGCTAAATTCTAATGTACCTTCTCTCGAAAGAGTCAACCATATAAGGGAATTTGGGTTGAATGCCAGTTGCTTTCCGTACCCACCTATTACCCAGAAGTACTTTATCAACAGCATTGAGGAGCTGCATTTCAGCGGCTTTAGAAATGACACTCAAAGGTATTCCAGGATTCCCCATTTCATCCATTACTTCCTGAACCTGTCAAGAAACATATGTTGCAACGAACAAAATACACATACGTGAGAACAGGAAGAAGGTGAACTGGGATTGTTTTAACTTCACAACTTATACACCTACATGTGCAGTTATGTCAGAAGAATGAGTAATAATTCTAAGCTTATCGTTGACGATGCGAACCCGATTCTCGATTCCTCATCTTAAAATCTTGTATATGTCTCACCACCAAACTACTTGCTCCATCAAAATAATACTTGATATGAGATTTCATACCTCTGGAGGCTCCCATAAGTTATCTCCCATCTCTTCAATTACTTCTGCTGGTATGTTGTCATCAATCACATCATGTCGCCGGTGCATGTGCCGAGTTTGAATTAAAGAATGGAAATGCTGATCAACAGATTCCTCAAGAATGTTATCAAGCATGTTTTTATCAAAAAAGTAGGGAGTATACCTGTTGGAACAAAGGATAACAATAGAGCATCAGCTATTCTACTTAAAACTCACCAAAATACAAACTTGACTCGTATAAATTACAAGTAATCTTGCAACAAAAAAACCAGCCTTCAGTTGAAAAATCAAATAGGTGCCCAGTATTTCCATAGCGTAAAGGTGAATAAGGGCAATAAAAATTGCAAAGTTTTATACCACAAAAGAAAACAAAACAGTATTGCCATATACTACAGACATTGAAGAAACTTTTTTCATTGAAAATCAAGATCTGACTGTAGCACAGAACTTGCTACAAAAGAACAGCTCAGATAATCGGAAATCATTCATATAATGCTAAATGAACAGGAAATACATATCTATCAAAATCCTAAAACTAGAAGCAAGCACAAAACATTAGAACACACCATTTGATCCCATCTGAGCTTGCTATTGCAATATCCAAGTTTTGAGCACCAAAAACTGGAACTCCGTCAACCCTTTTGCATTTGCCACTCTGCGGCATTGTCTTGAGAAGTTTGTTAGCTGCCTTGACCTGTAGGAGCAGAAGATTTTGAGAAATGCCATACAATGTTAGGGAAGACGGTTGTCACTTGTTATATCCTACCTGTTTTTCATTTGGAACAAACTGGAACAAGTGGGGCTTTTCCTGCATAAGACATAGTGAACAACTCACTCATTAATCCAAGAGGAGCATAACGCACCACAGAAATAACTGACAAAAAAGAGTCTATGAAAAGCAATATAAGTATCGATAAATCTATAATTTGACACAATCCAAAACACAACAAAGGCGCACGATTTCTACCCATTACTTCATAACAGACCAGAATGAAGCTAAACCCATGTGAGCTTAGTGCAAGATGGGTAATTAAGCCAATGTGAAAACTTGCAACTCTCACATCTATCTTACATACTGTACAAACTGGGATTACCTTGAAGTGTTCATATGCTAAATCAAGACGACAAGCACCCACCACGCCACTCGGAATATTCAGCCGTTTCACATACGTAACTAACAACACAATCTCAGTCAGAATGCAGGTCACCCCGAGATAGAAATAAATTTGACCAAATAACCAATAAAACCAACCAGTTGTTTATGCAGAATCCTTACCCGCATCGCCTAAATCCATGAAAAATCGAAACACGGGGCCATTTCTCTCACTATTAGTAATTGATTTAAACATCTTCTTCAGCCACTCAGGAGTTCTACGAGTAAATGCCATGAAAATTAAACAAAATTCAGCTGGAAAAATCTCAAACACACTAAAAATTTCCTCAATTTTAATAATCTCAAATCAAACACAGCATCTTCATCAAAAATTGAACTGAATTCGATATCTTTATGCATGATATGAAATACCATTGTTGTAAAAGTTGAAAAAAAAGTTACCTTCTGGAAATAAAGGGGATGTCGAAGTGGGTGGAGACAGCCATGAGACCAGTCCCGGAGAGGTCGCACATACTGAAGACCTGGCCCACAAACGCCGGCCCAGCGCCGCTCTTGATGTTCGAGTTCAGCCCTGCAATCCTGACCGTTGACGGGAACCCGGAGGTCGACTCGGGCGACGACGCCACGCCCTTCATGGCGGAGGTATTGGAGTCGGGCTGGAAAGCGAGAGGTTTCGGCGAGTTTGGGAGGAGGAGCCAGACGCGGATTGCCGGCGGGGTCGTGGACGGCGACGGGGTCGTCTTGGGGGAGGCGAAGATGGAGAGGAGATTGGATGCGGTGGAGTGGACCAGGTGGGTTACGGTGGGTCCGAGTTGCTGATTGGTGTGTGGTGGTTCGGACGGTGAGGCCATGGATTTGTCGAAGTGTTTTTGTCTGTGTATAAGAAGGAAGAGGATGAGGCTCGGGAGAGAGACGCAGAGAGATATCTGCTTAATTTTGGATGTCGTTGGAATTATATTTTCCACAACGACAGGTCGTGTAAACATTCTGGGCCTGGGCTACGGCCCATTAGAACGGATCAGACGTCACCAAATAAAACCCAAAACGAAGCTCTCCCCCTCTCTCCTCCCATCTGAGAAACGCTCTCACCTCCCTTCTCTCTCCGTCTCTGTAATCACGCCATCGTAAGGACAGAGGGCCTCCGAATCAGATCTCGACCTCCGATTTTATCAGGCAAGCTATACATATACATATATCTATATATATATATATTTATATTTCTGATATATTTTTCATTTCGATATTTTTAAATGGAAATTCAGTTCATCGAATTTTGATTGAGGTGAGCATGCGTTTTTAAATTTTTATTTTTTATTTTTGCAATTTTGATAATTTATTTTGATTTAATTGTACGTGTAGCTATCAGTATTCAATTGGCTGTACTGAGTGTGAGCTCGCTATCTCAGTCATTGACTTGATGGACTTCACAATTATTGGCTGCAGTTTGTTATATATATATGTGTGTGTGTGTATGTGTGTGTGTATCTCATAATTTGGCTGTGACACCGAGATTCGGTGATTCCGATTGGCCATAGTCATATAATGTCCTAATTTTGAGTTTGATTCGGGTTTTTATAAATTCCGATATGGAAATGAAATTGCTGCGAATGATGTTTTCAGCGATATAATCGTGAATCCTAATGTCGTTGCATTGGAGATGTTTTGAAATTCGTGATGCCACATTGGTCACGGCTCTGGTCTTTGTGAACTGATTGGTTCTATCAAAAATCTATTCTGCAGGCGTAATACGCACATAGGAGTAGTCTAGGGAGTAGGGAGGTCGCCATGGCTGCTTCGGAAGAGAATAGTGCGTTGTTCCCAATTTTCATTTTGACCATAATGGCACTGCCCCTAGTGCCTTATACAATTACGAAGTTATGTCGTGCTGCATCCAAGAAAACAAAGAGCATCCACTGTCAGTGCTCTGAGTGCGCTCGGTCAGGAAAGTACCGCAAGTCAATTTTTAAGCGGGTTAGTTCCTTCAATTGTTGCTAAGATCTGTTCTTTAATAGTCACTGCAAGAAGAATACCAATATTTGTTTTAAACCATCTAACGACTAACGAGGGTCTGGATGTATGTCCTTATCATTCATTTGCAGATTTCAAACTTCTCAACATGGAGTAACCTGACATTAATACTTCTCTGGGTTATCATGATAGTCCTGGTTTATTACATCAAAAATATGAGCCGCGAGGTAAACATTTTTAGCCATTTTGAGGCATTAATGAAAGCTGTTATCGTATGGTCTTCCTGCCCATGTTTTACATTTCCATGCCTTTTCAGTTTAGTTAATTCGGACTTTATATTATATTTTTAACTTGTCCTGAGAATCTTTTATAATAACCCAGATTCAAGTTTTCGAGCCATTCAGTATTCTTGGACTGGAACCTGGAGCTTCTGATTCAGAAATAAAGAAGGCATATAGGAGACTCTCCATACAGTACCATCCAGATAAAAATCCAGATCCAGGTTGATGGTGTTTTAGTTTTCAGTTTATGCATGCCTATCATTTTAACCTAAAACTAGCAGGAAAGATGGGGCCTTTATGAAGCATACACTAAAATTTTGATTTGTATTCTTTTTCTAGAGGCCCACAATTACTTTGTGGAGTTCATATCAAAGGCTTATCAGGCTCTGACGGATCCAGTATCTCGTGAGAATTTTGAAAAATATGGCCATCCAGATGGCAGGCAGGTAATGTGCAATCTGCCAATCTCATTCAAGGAAAACGGATAGCAACTTTCATTTAGTGTTTCCCTGTCAAAATCATATGAAGTAGAACAAATTTTGCTTTGAAATTGAACCAACTCTTTTTTCAAATAGGGGTTTCAAATGGGCATAGCTCTTCCTCAATTCCTGCTACACATCGATGGGGCATCTGGTGGAATACTCCTACTCTGGATTGTTGGTATTTGTATTCTATTGCCATTGCTGATAGCTGTCGTATATCTTTCAAGATCGGCAAAATATACCGGCAACTATGTCATGCATCACACATTATCCACTTACTATTACCTCATGAAGCCTTCTCTGGCTCCCAGGTAATCAAGTAGAGTACGCTGAGTACCAGAAATGTCGAGATTAGCTTTTATATGTTTATTCTTTCTTGTTTGCTTCTAAATAGCAGCTGCTTGCAAGTCTGAAGTAGAATAGTAACATAAGCAGATGCTGGGGGCAATATTTTTTGATGTTTTGATGGATCAGGTGTACATTAAGCTGTATTGTTTGTTAATTTTTTTTACTGATCTTATGACATAATTATACAGCAAAGTAATGGATGTCTTCATTAAGGCTGCTGAATATACGGAAATTCCAGTTCGCAGAACTGACAATGAACCCCTTCAGAAGCTTTTTATGCTAGTCAGGAGTGAGTTGAATCTGGACCTTAAGAATATCAAGCAAGAGCAGGCAAAGTTTTGGAAACAGCATCCAGCCCTTGTAAAGGTAATTTGTGCTCCAATACTAGACTAAATGATCAGCAAAGTTTGTCCCAGTCCTTGATATATGCTTACCTTTATGCCACCTTCTACGCAGACAGAATTGTTGATTCAAGCACAGTTAACTCGTGAGTCAGCATCCTTATCTCCATCTTTGCAAGATGATTTTAGACGTGTTCTGGAACTTGCCCCTCGCCTCCTTGAAGAATTGATGAAGGTGATTTCTACATTTTCCTGTCTTATCTTACATTCTATTAGCAAACTTGACAACAAGTGCTGATGCTTCTTAGAAGTTACAGACTTTCCTTAATCCTGCACTGCTTCACTCATATTTGTGTTTAGAATTGTTCCAATACTGTACTTAAAAAATTAACCGACAGATTTAGAAGGGGTACAGAAGTTGGTTACTTCCTACTAGTATTTCTGGAGAACAGTTGATCAATTAATGTGCTAGCATATCTCATGACATTTGTACCAAAATTGGAAGCCATGTTGTGCTAGTTTTACTTATGTTTTATTCTATTATGCAGATGGCAGTTATGCCACGCAATGCTCAGGGGCAGGGATGGCTGAGGCCTGCTATTGGTGTAGTTGAACTTTCTCAGTGTATCATTCAGGTGATAGTCCATTATCCACTTTTGTCAAGCGTGTAGATCTTACAAATACACTAATCACGCGAAATCCTAATTTTGCAAAGATCTAAGATTTCTCTCATACAATCACACTGTGAGGGCTTATACATAAGTTACCATGCCGTCTGTTCCTCGCACACAAATCTTGTTCTGAAGTATCACAGCAAGGGCTAATTTCTGAAAGCTGGTTGCATATTGATTTAAGCTTTCTTGTTAATTAAGTATTGTTGTACAAATATATGGAAGTAAATAATTTTCTCTTTTCTTTTGTTTTTTGCAAATATGTGCATCCTTTAGCTTTTGTTGTCTGCCCTGTCAAAACGCTTACTATGTTTGCAATTAAATTAGCACATAGCTATGACATTTATTATTGTATCTTATGAATCGGTACTCATTTTGAAGTTCATATTATTTTGTGATCATAATGCAGGCTGTTCCTCTTAGTGCAAGGAAGGCAATTGGAGGATCCAGTGAAGGCATTGCCCCCTTTCTGCAGCTGCCGCATTTTAGTGAGGCGGTTGTAAAAAAGATAGCCCGCAAGGTAAACAGTCTTTGTTTGGACAATGCCATGCTGGAATAGAACATATGATCCATCTCTTGCCTAGCTGCAGGGAGCAGGATATAGTACTATATTCCTACATGAGATAGTTAAAATTGAAAATGTTCTGTGAAATCCCTCTTTTCGTTACTGAATGAGCAGAAAATCTTCATTCTGTTATACTTAGTCAAGTTTATTTCTTTCACTTCTTTTGCTGATCTATTTTCTTCTCCTGATAGTATTTTTTTTTCAGTTTGATCTTAGCTTTAATTCTTCTTCTTTTGCTCGTAGAAGCTGAGAGTGTTTCAGGAGCTTCAGGACATGTCCGTGGAAGATCGTGCTGAGGTACTTTCTCAAACAGCTGGATTCTCATCCGCTGAAGTCCAGGATATTGAAATGGTATTGCAGACTATGCCTTCAATATCATTTGAAGTTAAATGTGAGACTGAAGGTGAAGATGGTATACAAGAGGGTGACATTGTCACGGTTCATGCTTGGGTCACACTAAAGCGTGCCAACGGACTGATTGGTGCCCTTCCCCACGCCCCATACTTCCCGTTTCACAAGGAAGAAAACTTCTGGTTTTTGCTTGCAGACAGCGTCTCCAATAACGTTTGGTTTTGGCAGAAGGTAAATTTCATGGATGAAGCTGCAGCCATTACTGCTGCTTCCAAGGCAATAGAGGACACAATGGAGGGTTCGGGAGCAACTATGAAAGAGGACTAGTGCTGCTGTCAAAGAAGCAGTCGGGAAGGTGAAGAGTGGGTCTAGACTGATAACAGGCAAGTTACCGGCCCCAGGGGAGGGGAATTACAATTTGACATGCTACTGCCTGTGCGACTCTTGGATTGGTTGTGATAGAAAGACAAACTTGAAGATGAAGATTTTGAAGCGCACACGGGCTGGTACCCGGGGAGGTTTTGTGGCAGAAGAGGGACCAATTACGGAGGATGGCATTGAAGAGGAGGAAGAGAATGAAGATGAGGAATATGATGACGATTATGAGAGCGAGTACAGTGAAGATGAGGCGGATGAACAACACGACACAAAAAAGAAGGCCCTGCTACAAACGGCACTGTCGATAAACAAGGCTCCGGCTCAGATGGTTCAGGTTCGGAGGACGACTAAAACAAACAAAACTTCACGTAGTTTTCTACTTGGTTTTATTCGTTTATCATTTATTTGGTGAGAGGATTGAAAGAGCCACAGGTGATAGTTACCCTATTTTCCATCTTTTATTTAACAGATAGTAATTTTGATACTACAAAACGTGGGTTCTAAACCAATTTGACCCCTTTCAGTTATTTAAAATTATAAACCTTTTAAATTTTTTTCCATAAATTAACCTCATTATTGAGAGTTACATGAAATGGTTCATTGCTACGTGACGTTTCAATCTAGTAACTGCAATTATTAGCAATGCGGTTTTATGACGTATTGTAAGGCACAGACAAATTCTAGAGTACATGAATTTACAAAACTTGTAAACTTACGTACACCTAATACAATTATAAAACTTCCTTCACTACAATTTTGAATAAAGCTAAGGTCATTTAACCGGCGGATTTGAGCCACTTAAAAGACAATGTATATATTGTTATGGTCAAAGGACTCAAATCGCGAATCCTACACTGATGAGAAATTAGGTTAGGGACGATTAAAACGTCGTAAACTTGCTTTAGCTTCATCTAACTGGTAAAAAAGAGTTTCAAGATTGAACACTCGGTTCATCGGAGCTTTTTTTCGCCTTCCTCCAGTAATTCATCTGAGTTCCGGTTCACTTCCTCGTCTTCAACAATGTGTTCGTTTGGATTTGATTCGGGTTCCAACATTTCTTCCGAGTCGCGAACTGTTTCCTTCCCTCACTTAGCATTTATGCAGCATCATCAGACCAGTTCTGATAGTTTGCTCGGACTTTAACACGTTTTCCGTTGATGTACCGATACTCCCATTTCGGAGGCGGATATTTCTTCTTCAACTTATTGTACTTGTCTAGCATATCTAGCTCCTTAAAGACATTTCCAACCTTTGTAACAATCGAAACATTTGGTTGGACCCCAAGCTCCTCCATGTCAGCAAATATCTGCAACAACAGACAGTTTCCGACAAGTTAAAACTCCTTGCTGCATGAAAAACGAGGATCCAATATACAAGCTAGCATGACATTCGGCCTTTCGGGATATGAGAACGAATCCGTTTATCAATCAAAGTTCCCGGAGTTTCGGATTTGCACCAAGTTTATGCAGTATTACAAGATGCACGGCTCATAGATTGACTTAAGAATCGATACGTTCATAAATCTGCTTACGAAAACGTGGTAGGACTGTAATACCTCAAACATCTTATCGTGCAAGCCGTGTTGGTAGTAAATTGAAATCATTTTGTCGAAGAACATGCGAGGCATGCTTTCCAAGTACTGCGAGAACAACTTAGTCCACAACTCTTCAGCTTCTTCAATCCTCCCATCCTCTGCCAAAGCAGTTAACAGTGTGAAATAGGTCCCCATTGTTCTTCCTTGCCCTTTGCTCAGCATCCACTTCGACACCTACAAAACACACGTCATGTCTTAGATTTCAAAAGTTAAGGCCCATCCATAAACTACCAAAAGGAATTCGAACTCGGGGTGCAAGAGAGTGGAGACCTTGCCCTCACCAACTGGCCTAACTTACGTCGACATTATACATCGAGCATTTTCTTTAGCATTGCCATATTCTAAACTATCAAAGGTAATTTGGACTCAGGCGCAAGAGGGCGGGTACACTAACATGACCAACTGGCCTAACTCACGTCTACGTTACATATTGAACATTTTCAAGCAAGGAGAAAAATCAAACCTGAATTATCCTCTTCCACTCCTTTTGATTCTCAAGGGACTTGAGTGCCTTCTTCACTGTAATTAAAGGGAAATCTAATTCCCAAGCAATGAAAGAATCAAGGGCTCCATAAACTTCCTCTTTCACATTTGACAATCCCTTAATCTACAAAAATTAATTATTATTACAGTTATTTCTCAAAAACCAAGCAAAAATATGGAAATTGAGAAGAAAAAAAGATCAAAGAAATATAAAAGCTTACAGATTCAACAAGTTTGAGGGATTTGGAAACGGTTCCAATCCGTTTATGGGCTTTCCAGACTCTTGGGTATCTGGGTCTTGGACCCTTTTGAGCACATACCTGAAAACTTCGTTGAAAAATATAAATTTGAGAAGAAAGTGACAATCTTTCCGCAACAACAATTTCGAATTATGCAAATGCAGGAAGCACTTCAGTCAGAAGCAGCTTCTACCACTACACTGCTTCTCCTGTGGGGAAATTTGATGAATTCCAGTCCTCGAGTGAAGGCCGGAAGAGAGTGTTTCAACGCAAGCATGCTCGGTAAAGCATTTAAAATCTCAGCTCCAGTTCGTTCAGGCAGCCAGAGAGAAAGTGGCTGCCAGCAGTGGCTCTTTGGTTCTGGTGGAGCAGGAGGGAAGAGGGAGGAGAAGAGAGAAAGACGGAGAAGGCGAGAAAATGAGAGAGAGAGAGAGGAGATCGCCGGCGGAGAAGCTGTCGCGGAGGTTGTAAGGAGTGGGTTGGGTGGCTGTCGTGTACAGTATAGCCGGGTTTGGGTTGTTCCTTCAACTTTATTCTAATCGGTGAAATCCTTTTTTAATTAAAAATCCATGATTATTGGTTTCTTAATTCATTAAAACGTACAATTATAGTTATTTTCGTCAATTCTTTTAAAATTTTCATCAAAATGAGTCACGTGCCACATGAGTGAGCCTAAATCAAGGAGAAAATATGGAAAGCCAAATAAGAAAAGTTATAGTAATGTCTTCTCAACTTTAACCCAATTAAAAAAATAATTTCTCAACTTTAAGTTAATTAGATAAATGATCCCTCGGTTGTGATGACATTGTTAAAAAAAAAATCATAACGGCATATTTTGATAAATTAAAAACCAATAATTATAAATTTTAGTTAAAAAACCATTAGTCCGAATTAAAGTTGAGCGATAATTTTTACAATTTTTTTTAAAAAAAAATGACGCACTTTACCAACTGACGTGGCGGAAACGAGAAAGTGGAGGGAAAGAAAACGTTGTGGAATCAAAACGGGATTCTCAGGTTTCCCTTGGAAAATTCAAATTGCCGCTTAGAAACGAAATAAGCTCTCTGTACGGGGTCGTTTTGGAGTGAGCAGTGACGACGGACGAGTGACGATGGACGACGTCGATCGGTTGTTCGAGTGCTTCAAGTGCGGCATCTCTCCTCCGCGTAAGCTCCCTCTCTTTCTCTCTCATCCGCCCTGTTTGGCTACTGAGAATTCAAAATAAAAAACGAAGAAAATCAAATCTTTTACTCGATTAACAATGTTTTTCATTTGGGAGGTTAAATTAGGGTTTCGAATTGGAAGTATGAGATTCAATTTTCTTTTTATTGCTTGTGGAGTGCATTTTGTAGAGGTTTCAATTAAAGCGTTGTTCTTGATTCATTGAGTTGTTACTGATATTTACAAGATTTGTTATTTTCTTGTCTGACCAGAATCCGCATTGAGGGAAAGGAAGAGAAGCAAAAGCGATTTGAAGCGGAGGAGTAAAACTCCGGAAGTCTCCTCTCCAGGCTCAGCAGAGAACACAAAGAAAAATGCATCAGAATTACAACTTTCCGCCGACAAGGTACTTATGTACAATGAAAATTGGTTTCGTTTTGTGCAAGGCTGCAAATTAATCAACCATATGTTTGATGGAGCATTCGCACGTAATGGTTTTGTGTCCAAGTAACTTGAATTCATGCTAAATTCTTGATTGGTTCGAAGTTCGAATTTTCCCATCCATGTGTCTTGTTGTGTGGAAATTGTTTCTTGGTTGAATGAAGCTTGACCTTTTATTTCGTTGGTAGTTGAAATGTTCTTTAACTGTGTTTATCGGTGACTTTGATTTTTGTCCTGCTGATTTTCTGATTCAGTCTGGTCCTACAAGTGTTAAACCAAACAAGTTTAATCGTCAAAAGGAGTTTTCCCCAGTTGTATTCTATGGATCTCCACACGGTGTGCCCCCCAAAAAACCATCAAGGTCGTTTCTGCGACTGCTACGTGAAATACGTATTGATCTCGCTGCACAAAAAAGGTTGACTTCAAGGTATTTGTGTATTTCTTTGTCCACGCAGTCATGCTTTAAGAAGGTTCTTTTCTCTTGTGATACTCTTTTACAATGTGACTCGACCCTTGTTTTTGGTTCATTTAGGAAGGAAGTATGGACTACGTTTCCAAGGCAGGATGAAGCAATGCAGTTTGCCAAAGGGCATGAGAATGTTCATGTATTTAGTTATCAAGATCATTATAGTGGACAGAGAAGGTTCCTCGTTTCAACCTATAACGATTTTTGGAGAAGGTTACCTTGTCCTTTTCGATTTTTTATACTTTTTCACCATATGAGGTATTATATTTTTTTTATATTTGTACTGCTTTCGTTTCCTTTTTCAGGTATAAAAATATGAATCCCAAGTTCCGTCACCACTACGAAGTGATCCAGGAGGTGACCTATTTTCCTTCCTTTTATTTAATAGAAGCAATAAATGGGTACCGTGTGCAGAAAACTGATTTCTGTTCTAGGTTGTGGTTCCTATAATTGGAATGTGTTGCTTTCAGGGTTTGCCGTGTCACCTTTATTTTGACTTGGAATTCAGTAGAAGGGACAATGCAGACAGAAATGGAGATGAAATGGTTGACCTCTTGATAGCAGCCATTTATGAAGCCCTGCTTGAAAAGTATTCTATTATTGGAAACAAGGAATGGATATTGGAGCTTGATTCCTCTAATGAAGGTGGGTCACAATTATTACTCCTTCCCTTGTATATGAGGCTGATGTCTATGTGCATTTAAATTTTCATCGAGTCTAAAGATAGATACCATATATGGGTTTTGATTTCTGTTTCATAACGTCATCTATTGTATATAATTTCCTGGCGAGGTTCTTGAAGTTGATTGTCACTTATGGTTATACTTTCGTGCAGCAAAGTTCTCTCGTCACCTAATCATTCGCATAGAAAAGGCTGCTTTTAAGGACAACTCACATGCAGGTGCATTTGTAACTGAGGTATCATTTCATTATGATATTTGTACGTTGTTTCTTAGGATGCCTTTTGCTTGATTAAATTTAAAAATGGGAATTTATTTCATTACCTATAGCTTCTTTTTATTGTGATGAACAGAAATCTGCTGCATTTACTACGATTTTTCCATTTTATATTCCCTGTAGAAATATCAACTATTGTCACTGTGATGACATATATCAGATATGCTCACGGATTTCAAGTGCAAAGGAGAGAGATGGAAGATTTGGAAACTTATTTATCAGAAAAGATTCAAGCTCATCCGACTCCCCTAGTAAACTATTTGTGGACACTGCTGTATATACCCGAAATCGTTGCTTTCGTTTAGCTCTGTCATCAAAGGCAGGGAAGAATTCAGTGCTTCTGCCTACTGGGCGTTTCAAAGCCAACAAGATGGTATTGCCACCCTTCCGATTAATATAACAGTTGCAACCTGGAGCTTTGTTAGTGATGTTTTGATTTTACGCGTTGACTACATAATAATCATATAATCAACGGTATGTTATTTAACAGCAGTGTGAGGGGGAGATGTTCATGGCATCCTTGATCTGCAATTTGGATGTTGATTGTGAAAAGCTTCTAGTATGCAAACCAGATCTTGATTGTATAAAGACTCTGCATTTTGACACTGAGGTTCCAAAACCGTTCTACACTCTTGATGCTTACAGATATGAGATAACCATAAGCATAATGACATTAGTGCATTTTAACTATATCAAATGCTTTCTTGATACAGGTAAACTGTGGTCTTGGAAAATGTTACAGTTGGCCCCAAGAATATGCACTGAATGGTTGCACAAGTGGTGCTTCAGCAACATACTTCCTGGGCAAATCTCCATTTCCAGCTTTGGATGCATTTGTAGAATCTGTTGCGACCATTGGAAATGTATCAGGTGGTACCTTGTAGCCGGCATCAGAAAAGTTTGATAATTTTCTGCAGTCACTTTGTAAATAACTTGCTGCTTCTCCAGGTAAAATTCGGAGCTGGTATTGGCTCTCAGAGTTTGCACTCATGGTCTACAGCATGTCAAGAAATAGATACTGTGAGCGAATTGGCAGACAGCATAAAAGCAATCACGGTAAATCTAATATGTTGTTGGTATCTTAATTCATGACTCTGATTCCTGTCTGCTTATACACACGTGAAGGTATTGTCTGGAACTTGCCCTACGCTTTTTTTCTTATATGTAACACAGAACCTGCTAATGCGCGTGATGGTTCTATTGGTTAGTGATATACGTTGCTGACCTCAGAAGGGCTTCTTATTATCAGAAATGTCATGATCCTGACTGCAGAGGTGCAAAAAAAATTTCAATTTCTGTAAATATTTACCTATTTTTAATCTCCTTTAATCAATAAGCGATCACTTTCAACTTGCATATGATGGCGACAGGTTATCGTTCTGCCTCGCGACCAATTCCATGGGAAATCATCCCTGACATGGTGTATGAAAATAAAAATGATCCTGAATCTGTTCTCTATGGTGATGAGAAAATGAGAGGCAGCTGCGTTACAGATTCATGGTGGCGTGAAGCCATTAGAGTTGCAGATGATGTCGAGAATAAGCAAAATTCTTTAGGGATCAGTAATATGGTGAGGCTACATTTTCTGAACATCTGTCCTAGTTTATCCTACTGTTTGTCTCTTTTCTGTTTAGTTTTGCTCACTGGGTGCAGTGAAAGGGATGGAACCAATCTTCTCGTTTTCCTGAAATCTGATTTGTCTGAGTTTCCTCGACGAATAGGAAAACATCAATTCCGATGATGAAGACTGGTGGATGGCTGTGGAAAGGACTGCATCCCAAGCTGAATTAGCGCATGTCAACTGATTCGAGGTCTAGTACATTGCCTGGCGATCCTTCCGGATATTTGGTTCTGCAGCATTTCGTCGTGGAAGACGGAATTACCGACCATTCCTACATGTGGTCCTTATGGGTTATGGCCCCGTTTGTTACACGGTACTAGAAAAGCTAGGAAATCACCACGGTTGATTTCGAAGAGAATTAATTTCATTACACAATTTTGAGAGAGACATTACCCAAACCCATAATTTCAAGAATGAAAATTGTTGCCCTTCGTTGGAGCGCGTCACTTATGGATTCCCATCATCTACATTTAGCGCATTTACCCTCGTTAACGTAACATGATAGAGAGTGATCAGTTTATTAGACACTTGGCAACCAAGATTTTTCATTCCTTGAATAAACTAACTAATAGAAAATAAAATATAACTAATTTGATATAATTGCTAGATAATGTGTTATATTTCAAAACTATTAAATTATTAAGAGTGGTTGAATATGGCAATACGAATAAATACACAAGACTCAGAATCCCTCTATATGGGGCACTCAACCAAACAAGCTACAAATTAAGAATAAGAACCCTATCAGGAAATCATGCTATGGAGAAATCATTAAAACATAAACAAGTGACAACTAAGAGTAGCAACTCAATGGGAATTCATACGCAAACAGTCACAATTGTAGAATACCACCTCATGAGGCATTCCTACACCCAGTTAGCAATCTTAAAAGGTAGTAACACACATTTTATCAATGATTCAAAAGCCTTAACCACATTAAAGTACTGTTTCTATGAAATCATTTGACGTACTTGGCCTTCTTGCATCCCTGATTCACAAAAACCCATACAATTTGAGTGTTAATTTTTATAATTAAAAAAAAAAGAATAAATTAAAATTAATTAATTTTGTTCGATATGGGTCAGGTATGTTTGCTTCTACAGTACGGTACCTTTGTAGTGGTCGATGAAGTCGGACTTAGTCTTGCAGCACCCGCAGTTCGAGCATTTGCCGCAGTCCTAATGTCTATCCTTCTGATGAACTTGATGTTAGGATATAGCCAATGTGTCACAATTGTATTGGAGGCTCTTAGGGTTAGTTATAGGTGTGTTGTCTTTATAAGACAAGTTGGTCATAATTGTTGTAATGAAAAACAGAAGTTTCCCTCTCTTCTTTCTCTCTCTACTTCTTCGTGGTTTTCACCTCCACTGCTTCTCTGCATTACATACAGTAGCATTGTTATCATGGTATCATCGCCGGCAATGGCTGACGCCGTCGCCTGACGATCCCGGTGCTTCCGCTTTTCTTCGTTCTTGTTCCGGTAGTGTTCTCTGGATCGCTGGAATTTGGTTGGTTACTCAAACCCTAGAATTTTGGGGATTCTTGAGTCTGTCTGTGCTTTTCCTCTCGTTCGTCGATGTTGTTGAGGTTCGTCGCTCTGGTTGAAGGTATCTGTTTAGTTTCTTGATTTCTTGACTTCATTTTGTGAGTCTTGCTGTGAATCTTGTTATGGATTGAGGCGTTGATTGTTAGTTTCTACTAGTCAATTGCTTGCTTCTCGTTGGTTGTTGGTGTGTTTGTTGAAGATTTCTGCTACTTGCTGATCAATTGTTGTGGTTCTTGTTTGCGATTCTTGATTCCTGCCAGTTGAAGCAAAGATTGTTATTTGTTGATTAAACATGGTGACTCATGCACAATTAGCTTATTCAATCGCCTATTTCTTCCCTGATGTGTTGGCAATACTGTTACAGTTAGAACTTAGATGATTAAAACCAAAAAGATAATGTAGATAACCCAAATATAATCAGAGAGAGAGATCAGTTTATGTGACACTTTGGCAATTAAGATTTTTCTTTGCTTGAATAAACTAACTAATAGAAAATAAAATATAACTAATTAGATATAATTGCTAGATAATTTGTCATATTTCAAAACCGTTAAATTGTTAAGAGTAGTTGAATATGACAATACGAATAAATGCACAAGCGCCAAATGTAGAGACTCGGAATCCCTATATATGGGGAACTCAACCAAACAAGCTACAAATTAAGAATAGGAACGCTATCGGGAAATCATCCTCTGGGTAAATCATTCAAACACAAACAAGTGACAATTAAGAGTAGCAACTCAATGAGGAATTCATTCAAACGCAAACAAGTCACAACTATAGATTACCACCCCATGCGGCATTACTACAAACAGTTAGCAATTTTAAAAAGTAGTAACACTATGTTAGGCATTTTATAAATGGTTCAAAGCCTTAACCACATTACAGTACTGTTTTCATGAAATCATTTGACGTACTTGGCCTTCTTGCATATTCACAAAAACTAATACAATTTGAGTATTAATTTTTATAATTAAAAAATAATAAGGGATAAAATAAAATTAATTAATTTTGTTCAGTATGGGTCGGGTATGTTTGCTTTTACGGTATCTGGATAGCCAAATGGTCTGTGAAGCAGGACTTAGTCTTGAAGCAGCACCCGCTGCTCGAACATTAGTCGTAGTCATGGTGGCTGTTCTTCTGATGAACTTGAAAGGCTTTATTGGTGCCAAAGCGTTTGAAAACTTGGTCTGCCGCCTATGCTTTAGAAGATTTGGCACCAAGAAAGCCTTTCAAGTTCATCAGAAGGACAACCACCAGGACTGTGGCAAAAGCTCGAGCTGCAGGTGCTGCTTCAAGACTAAGTCCGACTTCACCGACCATTTGGCTATCCAGGTATCGTACCGTAAAAGCAAACATACCCAACCTATATTGAGCAAAATTAACTAATTTTATTTTATACCTTAATATTTTTTAGTTATAAAAATTAATACTCAAAATGTATGGGTTTTTGTGAATCAGGGATGCAAGTACGTCAAATGATTTCATGGACACAATACTGTAATGTGGTTAAGGCTCTGAACCATTGATAAAATGCCTAACATAGTGTTACTACTTTTTAAGATTGCTAACTGTTTGTAGTAATGCTGCATGGGGTTGTATTCTACCGTTGTGACTTGTTTGTGTTTGAATGAATTCCCCATTGAGTTGCTACACTTCATTGTCACTTGTTTTTGTTTGAATGATTTCGCCATAGGATGATATCCCGATAGAGTTCCTATTCTTAATTTGTAGCTTGTTTGGTTGAGTGCCCCGTATATAGGGATTCCAAGTCTCTACATTTGGCGCTTGTGCATTTATTCGTATTGTCATATTCGACCACTCTTAACAATTTAATGGTTTTGAAATATGACACATTATCTAGCAATTATATCTAATTAGTTATATTTTATTTTCTATTAGTTAATTCATTTAAGGAAAGAAAATATTGGTTGCCAAGTGTCACATAAACTGATCTCTCTCTGATTATATTTGGGTTATCTACAATCTCTTTTTGGTTGGATATTGGAGCTTGATTCCTCTAATGAACGTGGGTCACAATTATTACTCCTTCCCTCCCTTATATATGAGCCTGATGTCTATGTGCATTTAAATTTTCATGGAGTCTAAATATTGACACCATATATGGGTATTTTTGTTTCATAACGTCATCTATCATATATAATTTCATAGATTGTCACTTATGGTTATACTTTCGTGCAGCAAAGTTCTCTCGTCACCTAATGATTCGCATAGAAAAGACTGCTTTTAATGACAACTCACATGCAGGTTTGTCACTGAGGTATCATTTCATTATGATATTTGTACGTTGTTTCTTAGGATGTCTTTTTCTCGATTAAATTTAAAAATGGGAATTTATTTCATTACCTATAGCTTATTTTTATTGTGATGAACAGAAATCTGCTGCATTTACTTCAATTTTTCTTTTTTATATTTCCTGTAGAAATATGAACTGTTGTCACTGTGATGACATATTATCAGACATGCTCACGGATTTCAAGTGCAAAGGAGAGAGATGGAAGATTTGGAAACTTATTTATCAGAAAAGATTCAAGCTCCTCTGACTCCCCTAGTAAACTATTTGTGGACACTGCTGTATATACCCGAAATCGTTGCTTTTGTTTAGCTCTATCATCAAAGGCAGGGAAGAATTCAGTGCTTCTGCCTACTGGGCGTTTCAAAGCCAACAGGATGGTATTGCCACCCTTCCGATTAATATAACAGTTGCAACCTGGAGCTTTGTTAGTGGTGTTTTGATTTTATGCATTGACTACATAATGTTTTGATCGTATAATCAACGCTATGTTATTTAACAGCAGGGTGAGGAGATGTTCATGGCATCCTTGATCTGCAATTTGGATGTTGGTTGTGAAAAGCTTCTATTATGCAAACCAGATCTTGATTGTATAAGGGCACTGCATTTTGACACCGAGGTAATTGGGATTCCAAAACCGTTCCATACTCTCGATGCTTACAGATATGAGATAACCATAAGCATAATGACATAAGTGCATTTTAACTATATCAAATGCTTTCTTGATACAGGTAAACCGCGGTCTTGGAAAATGTTACAGTTGGCCCCAAGAATATGCATTGAATGGTTGCACAAGTGGTGCTTCAGCAACATAATTCCTGGGCAAATCTCCGTTTCCAGCTTTGGATGCATTTGTAGAATCTGTTGCGACCATTGGAAATGTATCAGGTGGTACCTTGTAGCCTGCATCAGAAAAGTTTGATAATTTTCTGCTGTCACTTTATAAATAACTCGCTGCTTATACACAATTGATAGCACTTGATATGGTCCGTACGTCTGTATTTTGTCTGGAACTTGCCCTATGCTTTTTTTTTTCTTATATGTAACACAGAACCTGCTAATGCGCGTGATGAAGAACGCGGTTTAGACTGGTAGCGGTGTGGAATTACAATCTAACATGCCTACTGCCTATGCGACCCTTGGACTGGTTATGATAGACAAAAGTATTGCTCGATATATATAGTATGTATGTGCGTCTGCATTTTTTCTTATATGTCAAAAATAAAATACCGAATCTCAGACGGGAGTTATATAATGCAGATCACGAAAATAAATAAACAAACTCCAAAGAAATAAAACAAGCTCTTTGGAGGCCACCAAAATTATCAGGTTCACGGCCACCAAAATTAATTGTTGTGTGACGATCATAATCATGGGTGAAGTATATGCAATTCGATCGGCACCCGGGAATATAAGAAGCCAGAACCGCAACGGAAGAGTTATCTCCGGAAAAGACATCACCTAAGCTTTTTTTTTCTCAATCCACTCGCTCTTCAAAGAATACAACTTGAAAATTTCAAATTTTTCTGTCACACGTTTTTCACGATCATAGTCGTAATCAATATACCTAACAGCCATTAACAACTCCTCATTGTTTACACTCACGAGATATAGCGTCGTAAAACGTTCGTCTACTCTCTTTGTAGTAATAAATTTTATATCCGAAATGGAACCAGCAGTAATGTCAAAAGATAAGGTCATTTCTAACCAAAGGCTGGCTAAAGGGCTCCTTTAATTTACCATCTCCAACCGAGAGCCAAAGGGTCATAGAGCTCGTTTTAGCCCTATCACAAAAAACCGTCTCCAACCGAGGAAGGGCTATAGTATGGAATGTGAAAAATTGAAATAAAATGAGGTAATATAGTATGGAATAGTGAAAAATATGTGAGAAATGGTGTAGAAAAAAATTAGAAAAAAAAAAAGCGCTGCGGGGCATAAAAAGAAAAAGTGGGCTGGGACCATAAATAAAAAATTAAGCCCTAAATCCTAAAGTGGGCTGGGCAATGGAAAAGAACCAAAAAAATAAAAAAGGGCTGGGCTAATGGAAAAGAACAAAAAAAAAAATTTTGAAATTGGGCTAGCCAGCGAGCTAGCTGCAAGTGGCCAGCCGGTTGACCCTTTGATCATTTCAGATTTCGTGGGGCCCACAAGCGCTTTGATTTAGTTCTCAGTTTAAGACGACTTTCAAGCGTTTTTCGGCTCTCTAACCCTTTGAATCTTCGGTTGGAGATGATCTAAAAGTTGCGGCTCATCACCACCAATAGCATAGAATTGATTTTGAACCGGAACAACTTCGAAAAGTACGAACCTCAGGTCTTCGATGTAAGTCCAAAGACCTCAGGTCTTCGATGTAAGTCCACATTTTGTCTTTGTTGAGTCTAGTAAAAGCCAACTGACAACAATCTTCATATATGAGAGATTTTTCAGTGTGATCAGTACCATTTCCTATTAAAACATATGGTATACCATTTGTGTTCCCGTCACAATGAAAAACTTCTCCTTCGTATATGACCAACACAACGCAATGGTCTGCATCTAGTTCGATCAGCTGTAATTGTAGCCTTGTAAACACCATAGTTACGCCTCAAAATCCATATGTATTCCCAGCTTGGAGGGTTGAACAGAGGAAGACAGATGACTGAATTTTCTTTCACTTTCCTGCCTTTAACCCTAAACACCGGATTGATTAAGGTTATCGTAAAATCCTCTTCCACAGCTATTAACCATCCTTTTGATGATCCACAAAATCGTTTTTTTGATAATTTTAGCTATATCACCTCCACACACAGTTGTTGCCGGTAGAAAACAAGAGCATCGGAGCACGATGACGAGTCGACATGGTAGAAAAGCGTATTGCATTATCCTTCGTTTTACGATGCCATGACTTACACACCATACCAAATAGGAAGTGGTCTCTGTCTAATGTCAATCTCTCTGAAATTAAACCCACAACCTCTGCAGGCAAGTTTGCCCAATCTACAAAAACCAAAAAGAAAAAAATAATTAAATTACGAGCTAGTCCGAGATTTGCAATACTATCAACATGATGCAACGAGAGAGGCTCACACTTTGGATTATTTGGAATTGGAAAATTATATTCAAACGAATACGATTTGCGAGAGAAGAACACTAACACAAACAACAAAATAAATTAATAAAAAAAAAAAAGGAGCTAAGCAACACAAAGAACACAATAAAATATAGAAAGTGTTATTGGCATTTCAAAAATTTAGTGATACCAAATAGAATTTTACGACTCGAATTATTACATAATCAAATATATATATATATATATATATATGGGGCTTTTGGATCTAGGTCCAAAAACATAGGTAATTTTTGGTACTGAGTCCAGTTATCCAATTACATATTTTGATATCAATTTTGTCCCTTCAGATAAAAATATTTAAATTATTTAATTTTTTTTTATCATTTATTCAGTTTTTAAATTTTGAATATTTAAATACCGAACTAAAATATTATCTAGTAACTGCCTACTGTTTATGAAGAAAACAAAACCGATATAATCTAGTAACTACCTACCTATTGTATAGGAAGAAAAATGCTTTATACCTACAAAGCAAATATAATCTACCTGCAAAATAAAAATAAACTACCTATTGTATAGGAAGAAAAATGTTAGGAACCTACATGGCGGAACATAGAAATATAAATATGATATAATATACCTCCATTAAAGGAACGAATTTGGAGGGAAGAACACAAAAATATCACCCATGAAAAGAAGAGACAAAAAAGAGGAGGATTGATAGAGGGAATTGTTTGGAAGAAGGAAAAAAGGTGGGATGAAACGAACTAGGGTTGAGGTGATTATATGGCTATAACTAATCCTACAATTAAGGGATTAGTTAAACGACAAATAATCCCATAATTAACAAATTTTGTATATTTATAACAATTCGTAAGTCTAAGGGGTAAATATGGTACAAACCACAAATAAGTATATGTGGAATCTTAATTATTGGACCTATTTCAATGAAGTGGACTAATTCTACTAATGGCTCACAAAATTAGATCTATATCAAGTTATCCCTATATATATACATACAATCCTTGTTCCATAAGGAAACAATAAAGGACACAAACATATATCCTTCCTAATAAAGAACTCCTAATATCTACACAATCTTTACGTGCCCTTTTAAAATTAACTCACATTTACAAGAAAGACATACCGTAAACATATAATTTGAAGATTGCAAATTGTTGCCCGGCCTCGAAGCGGATCACTTAAAGTGTCTTCAGTCTGGATCCGTCCCCAGTTTCTACATGTAGCGTTTGTGCATTTATCCGCAACAACTCAACGTAACACACACACACACATATATATATATATATATTTATTTATATATATTTAACCTGAGGTTATGATCCAATAGGTTAAAACAAGGGACAGAGATCCCAGCCAGATCTTACCCCACCAAATCCCAAGGATCCGGAGATCCGGACCATTGAAATTTGATCCAATGGCTATTAACAAGGGACCTTCTAAAAGTAATAATAATTGTAGCCGTTAGATCAAATTTCAAGGGATCTCCGGATCCTTAGGACTTGGTGGAGGAGATCCGGCTGGGATCCCTGTCCTAAAACAAGGGCAACGAGACCTATTAATCAGTTGATCAAAACAAAAATGATTTACAAGGCAAAGAATCACCAAGCTTTGCAAATAATGAAATTTCATAATTCCTTAATCTCAATTAACAATACAATGACCTGGTTGGAACCCCTCCTGTCATATATCGAAACCTATGCCGAGAGGCATCATTGAAGAAACGAGCTAGAATCAAACCAAATGATGGCACTTGAAGGTGTTGATGACGTTACCCTTCAATTTGCTAAGTTTGTTTCACTGTTTGTGGTTTCTGCTGCATCCTTGGGAATAGCAGATCATTGAGTTGTCTCTCAGCGCTGTACTCAGAAGTTGCCTGAAACCACACGGTAGACGAGGTAACCAAACCAAAGGCAACGCTACTTTTCAGCACAAGCATATTGTATTTCATGGTTCCGAAAGAGTAACAGAGGAATGTGCAACTACATTTTATTGTGCTTCAGAGTTCAGAGATGGTTCAATAATATTTGGAAGATAGATGGAAAGTTAAACGCCATGGATTAAAGATACTTGGCTCACCCGTGTGTTAAGTGCGAATCTCAATGTCTGGACTTGTGTTCCTGAGCAAACCCTTAAGTCAAATCCAAGGGAATCTACACCAATAAGTACTGCCTCCTGCAATATAATTAACAAAGATTAATCATCTATAAGACTACATTGAATTGCAACAACATCATCAAAGACGGATTTCACAAGATTGGGATAGAATATGTAAAATAGACTTTCTCATTCTAAGAAATCACATTCTAGCCTTTATGGATGTTGAAGACGACCTCATATATCACAGAAGTTGGGTATACAATCTAAAAAATCAACCTTTCCGGAGAACATAAGTTTTGAAGTTCAAAATTGTAAAAAAAAAAAAAAAAAAAAAGGAGTGCAAAACCTACAGCCACGTCTTGGAAACAGATTTGGAAACTTGTTTAACAAGTTTGAATATGTCGGCAAAAAAAAAAGAAGTGGTACCTCCACTTGAAGACCCTTTAGTCTCCAACATAAGGACTTCAGAGCTTGCGTGGTCTTTTCTCCATCAGCTTTCAGACGAGATATAATTTTAGCTGCTGAGTGTGCAATGGCATCAGGTTGAGCTTTTACAAAGTCTTCTACTTCAACAACAGTCTGTGGAGAATTAGAACAAAAGATTAACCGTTAAAAAAGAGCTAGCATCAACTTGGATGACAAAATAAGAGTAAATCCTTCCTTACACGAACCTGACTTCCATGGGATGAAAACAGCTGAATCTTAACCATCCCCAGTTTGTAAAATGTAGTCCTGTTTCCCGGTGTTTCATCTTTCTTATTCTCCAATTCCTCTTCCGAGGCTGGACTATCCTTTGAAATTCCTGATTTATGGCCATTAATCCTAACAGGATCTTCTAAATCATCTTCTACAGTCCTCCCAACTTCATCTACGCCATCATTACAAGACTGGTGATCAGACATATGCTTTTGGATAACAGAATGTTCTTCTATAAGTGCAGGCCTTATAAGGCCCTGAATAGCCAAACTAGCTGGAGCCTGCTCTGCCCAATCTATAGGATCATCAGAAGCAACCTGAAAAGTAAAAACAAAAGCGGAAATATGAGAAACGGAAATGACAGCTTCATGAAAAACCATGAAATCGGATACAATTGCAGCTAGACGCTTCAAATGAAAAAGAGGTACTACAAGTAAGCAAATAAAACTCAAGAATTCCCCACTGTTACAAACAAAACACATGAGTTAATTTTTTCAATTACCTCTACATCACTCCATGGTAGGGTAAGAAAATTACAATGGGCAATTACCTCACTTAGCTTCTTGGCAAAATTCATTGGGTGAGAGTAACGCATAGTCTGCAATTTTGCCCAGTTGTCAGAATCATCCAGATCATCTTCATCTTCATCTTCAAGAACAGCAGCCCAATCCTAAACATGAACCTATTAGATAATTAGAAACGTCTAACAACATCCATTCATCGACATCTAAACAAATGAAAACACAAAACAGACCGAATCATAGTCACCGTCTTCTTCATCATCGTCCTCCTCGTCATCGTCATCGTCATCATCATCGTCGTCGTCATCATCGTCTTCAATCTCACTACCTTCATCTTCAATCCCATCCATTTCAAAATCAATTTCTGGTAACTCCATCTCATTGATCATTTCCATAGTATCTAACCCAATAATAACTTGCTGCATCATTATAATAACCCACAAATGCGTAAGGAAAGTCCAGAACATAGAATTGCTGATAGAATGCAATCATCTCTACCAATGGCCATCGATTTATTTGTCCATGAAAATTGCATACCACAAAGTTATTCTCTGAAGTTAGGGAACGAAAAGTGTCTTCACTATCCTTCACTTGAAAGTAGATATCTGCAACATACTAGAGCGGGTTAAAATCTTTACTTTGAAAGGAAAAGAAAAATTGCCAAGTCCAATGTACGATGTGAAAGTCACACACTTTGACTTACTTCCATGTTCATCAGTTACATAAGGCAAATCCGGACATAAAATATTTTCGTGAACCTCGTCATTGATCAAACTCGAAAACAAGAGTGTTGCTTTGCTGTTAACCTGAAATGGCATACTATGGGCAACATTAGCATCGCAGAACCTCGATATGAAAATGGGGAGCATCAACAAGTGAGCAAGTCCAATTTAGTACTCAAAGATTCGAACTTTCGCCTACTTATCAACAATCGAATACAATGTACTACCTCAATGAGGGTTCTAGCAGATTCTGCAGCTGTAAGTCTATCAGTTCCACTAGCCTCTAATGTGGACTCGGCAATATCCTCAAATGGGTGGTATTCCGGCCTCTCATTCGGCTTCACAGGCTCCGAACCGGGCCCTAACTGCCGGGCAGATGCCTGAATCCCATTCTTTACCAAATTTCTCCTTTTTGCAACCGAACCATTCTTTGACAGTGGAATTCGAGTCCTGTATCACATTCTTATCCGATTTACGCATTTTCGAAACCTAGAAATTCAAATTGGTTTATTCAGCTAGAAAAAGCTCAGCTGCTGGATAATAAAAAATAAACTAATTTGCGTACCACGGCGCGGCGAACCCGCCGGGGCAAGAAAGGCGGCGGCGTACGGCTCCGGTCAGCTCGTCTGAGCTCCACGTCGGACGATAGGCTGCAATAAACAAAAGAAATTAAATTAGAAGTGTCGTGCTTGGGAACAGAGAACGCAGGGAAGAGATGTGAAGAGAAAGTTGAGCTGTTAAGTAGGCGGCAGAGAGAGGAGGGAGTTACAGGGCATGGAGGTGCAGGAGCAGAGGTTTGTGGCGGCGGAGTTGAATTGTACGGCCATGGCTGACTCGATCATCATCATCGTTTTCGAGTTGGTTGTAGTTAATGCAACTGCAAGTGTGAGATCCACAAAATATATCTCTCTCTGAAGAATCTGAAAAGGATGAGGTTTGCTTTTTCCTTAGAGTTTGGGCTAAGATTCTCTGTACGCACGATTGGTACAACCGTAATTCTAAATTTTTAAGAGTTTAAAATGATTGAAAGTGTTTTTGGTAGAAATATTTTTAGAATTAATTTTTAGTAAAAATGCAAGTAAATTTAAGAAAAGTACTTATCGGTTGTTTTGCCAAATGTATTTTTAAAAGTTTTAGAGCCTGTAAATACAAGATATGATTATACAACTCAAGAAATACAAAAAATTCATTTATTATTTGATGTCAAATTCCCTACAATTGTTCACTAATGCTTGTTGAATTGAGGTTTCCTTCATTGGAAATAGCTTTTGATACCACTGCAAAATCCAACGTAGTTTTAAGTCAAGTTATTACAGGCGAGGAACAGAAACCAAATGAGAAAGAGTTGTTGATTGGTTTGTTGACCCAAAAAATTAGACGGATTAAACCGAGGAAATCTATGAGTTACCTACGTTTTTTTGTTGATGATGGTGTGTCAATTTGCAACCGAGCTCGGTTGGGTGAATGAGGTTGGGTGGTGACGATACATGCTGCTGACTTCTACACCAAGTTTCAAAAAACCCCTATAAAAAACAAATTATGTTGAAACGATATGTAATATTTCTCTACATTTTGGTTGTTTGATTCACCAAGTTGTTTTTTATGAATATTGTTGGTTTCACCGGTTTGATATTAAACATATGAACTGACATTAAGTGTGGACAGTGTGAGGTCAAATAAGACCAAAATACACAGAATTTCATGTTTTTAGGTGCAATATCAATGATTGTGTCACCCCTTCACAATTTAGGGGTTTTTGAACATTAATCCTTGCAAAAGATTAAAGTTTAAAAAAAACTGGTGCTAGATTAAATATTCAATTTAATCCCTTGAGTGTACTTTTATGAAAATTTACATTCAATTTTTGTGTGTATTTTTATTTAATCTCTCCATATTAAAATTTAATTTTATTAATATGCACATATTTAGTTTTTTTAATTAGAAATGAACGTAAATGAGAAAATATTAAAAGAAATTTGTGATGCAAAAATATATAAATACATAAGTGTACAGGAATGATTGTGCCAAAATATATAAAATTGACTTTTTTGTACCGAAATATTTGTACCTACATGATTGTACCGAAATATATTATAATGAACCTAAATGTATGTACCAAAATGTACGTACCTAAAAGTCAATACCAAAATGTACGTACCGAAATGTATGTACCTAAATGTCAATACCTAAAATGTATGTAGCTAAATATCAATAACAAAATGTATGTAACTAAATGTATTTACTGAAATATAATATATTGAATTAATGTACCTAAAAGTCAATACTCAAATGTGTGTACCAAAGTGTAAGTAATGAAATGCATTATATTGAATCAATGTAACTACATGTTTGTACCGATGGATATACCAAAATTGTGTCATCCCACATCGCCCAGGGGAGTGATCCTTAAATGTATATTCTCATCCTTACCTAGCACGAGGTCTTTTGGGAGCTCACTGGCTTCAGGTTCCGTAGGAACTCAGAAGTTAAGCGAGAAGGGGGCTAGAGCAATCCCATGATGGGTGACCCACTGGGAAGTTGCTCGTGAGTTCCCAAAAACAAAACCGTGAGGGAATGGTAAGCCCAAAGCGGACAATATCGTGCTACGGTAGTGGAGCGAGCTCGGGAAGTGATTCGTCCCGGGCCGGGATGTGACAATATGGTATCAGAGCCTAACTCTGACCGTGGTGTACCGATGAGGACGTCGGGCTCCTAAGGGGGGTGGATTGTGTCATCCCACATTGCCCAGGGGAGTGATCCTTAAATGTATATTCCTATCCTTACCTAGCACGAGGCATTTTGGGAGCTCACTGGCTTCGGGTTTCGTAGGAACTCCGAAGTTAAGCGAGAAGAGGGCTAGAGCAATCTCATGATGGGTGACCCACTGGGAAGTTGCTCTTGAGTTCCCAAAAACAAAAACGTGAGGGAATGGTAAGCCCAAAGTGGACAATATCGTGCTACGGTGGTGGAGCGGGCCCGGAAAGTGATCCGTCTCGGGCCGGGATGTGACAAAAATATTTAAATGTATTAATGTACCTAAATGAAGAACATACAAAATTGTTATCAGAATATATATTATAAAAAAATTAGTTGCCTAAATGTAGACATTAAAATATATTATGATGAATGAAATAAAAACTAAATTTAAATGTAATTAATACATTAAAATAAAAATAAAAAGATAAATAAAACAACAAAATATAACTAATAAATGATATGATTAAATGTGCTAGGGACTAAAATTAGATTTTAATCATACACATGGTTATAATCTAAAACTTATCTTTTTTAAGAATTAAAATGAAGTTTTCTATTTTTTTTTTCCATCAAGTAGTCGAATTTTTGCCTTTGGTGCTCAACAAATAGAACCAAAAGGAGTTTCTTTTGGCGATTGGATGTATATGTATTGAAGTTGGTACAAGATAAGAGCTTCCTCAGTTAATTTACGTATGTTCATTCCATATATGCATGCTTTAGTTGGCTTTCCACATTGTCACAATCCAATGAGGCTCTGTTTGTTGGGTTGGATGGACATGATGTGATCAATCAAAACGGATTTGAGTTCAGTATGTTGTTTGTTGTGTCAAAATGTGAGATAAACATGACCGGACACGATGGGTTACAAATCCACAATATTGTGGTTAACTAACTTATTCTTATACATGAGTTACAAGTCTTGTCTTACAAGTCCCAATCAATCCAATTCTATCTTTAAAACCCAATCTCATCCAACCCACCAAACATGCAAGTTTTGATGACTTAGGTTCCGTTTTTTACTCTTTGTATTTTGGTTTTGTTTTCAATTAAAATTCGGTATTGATCTCCGTCTTTTTTGTTTTGTTTTTACTTACCAGATTAATTATCCTATTTTTGTTGAATCTATAGATTTAGAGGTGTTCGGCAGTAGGGACTTGGATTTGGACAGAAGACTGTACCTGTATATATTTCACATCTCCTACGTGTTCTGATTATCTTTGTCCAAAATTCACAAAACTTGACACTATTTGTTTCGTGGTTTTGTTCTTCATGCTGCAGTAACTCGTACAATCGATAAAAAGGATAGTCCTTCGCGTGTTCGTTCAATCAAAAGTGTATAAAGCCAACCCTTCTGTTTGATAAATACATTGTAGTTCACTGTTGGAGTATTAGTACTTGCTATACTACCATGAGAGACGATGACGTATTATGTTGTCAGACCGATTTCTGGGTGTTTATGGTCATATCTTTGGTCCTTGTGGCATTTGCCGGTATTGCATCAGGCCTTGCCTTAGGACTTCTCTCCTTCAGCCAAGTCGATCTTGAAGTCCTCATTAAGTCCGGTCAGCCTCAAGAACAGAAGAATGCAGGTTGCTAGCTACGGTGAGTTTCGTTACATTATTGTGAAAATTAATTACTAGCTTAATCAGCTCGCTAAATTTGCAGCGAAGATTCTGCCGCTTGTTAAGAACGAACATCTACTTTTATGTACTCTCCTCATAGGCAAATCACTGGCAATGGAGGTACGCCGCTATGACATGCATCATTTGTGCTGTTTTTATATTCTGAAGTACTAAATTACTTGACCTGTTAACTAATGTATTGTTCTACAAGGCGCTTCCCATTTTCCTGGACTCGATTCTTCCCGTTTGGGCTGCGATTCTTGTGTCAGGCACCCTTGTTCTCGTGTTTACGGAGGTAAAAATTTTGTTTTAAGCCATTCACTTGGTTTTTGTCTTGGCCTAATGCACTTTAAATGTTGACAATACGTTATCGTTGTCTTAAGATCGTTTATCGTTCACCTTTTCTCTTAGATCTTTCCTCAAGCTGTATGTTCTCGATATGGATTAAGTCTCGGCGCGAAAATGTCTCACTTGGTCCGATTGCTTCTTGTGGTTTTCCTCCCCCTATCGTACCCTTTCAGTAAGGTAAAATACACGTTCATGACATAACTCAGATCAACGTTCAGTTCCGCTGGCTTCACGTAACTCAACTCTTTCGTGGTAAGCATAATCTGCGCAAATTAAGACTTTTTCGTGTTTGGAAATTTGACCGTGGCAGCTGCTGGATTGCCTCCTTGGCAAAGGGCATTCGGCGCTCTTAAAACGAGCGGAGCTAAAAACATTGGTGGATCTGCATGCCAATGAGGTAAATTTGCTAGAGATTCTTGTTAAATATTAACGGTCTATGCAGACAGTGACAAAAGTCTAAATAATGTGATCATGTTCATCACTAGGCTGGGAAAGGTGGAGAGTTATCGCATCATGAAACAACGATTATTGCTGGTGCTCTGGATTTGACTTCCAAGACTGCTAAAGATGCAATGACTCCCATATCTCAAACTTTCTCCCTTGACATCAATTCAAAACTCGACATGTAAGTTACGATGGTCAGTTGAATCTGTTCATACCAAAATTAAATCATGTTTAATTACGTTCGAGTACTATGTCATTTTGATGTGTTTTGTCCATGGATCTTTAGCCATACCCTTGGTTTAATAACTAGCAAAGGTCACAGTCGTATACCTATCTACTCTGGAACCCCGACAAACATTATCGGCATCATTCTGGTAAGCACTTAGCACTTAGCAGGCCTCACCGTTTACTATTTCCTTAAAGCTACCTTTCATCCACGTGTAACTAATGTCACATTTTTCGGAATGTACTAGTTGAAGAATTTGATCTTCAGCCGCCCTGAGGACGAAACGCCAATTAAATACTTGACAATCAGAAGGATTCCAAGGTAGGCTATGACTGTTCCCTTATGGAATCTAGCAATTGACTTCATGCTAACACAAGTTTTGGGCAAAAACAACTACTGTTTCCACGAAACTAATTTGCCGAAAAGCGCATATGTTTAATGTAAATTGTAATGCTGTACATAATCTGTAACAGGGTCTATGATAATTCGCCTTTGTACGATGTACTGCAGCAGTTCCATAAAGGTCATAGTCATATGGTTGCTGTGGTGATGAGTAACAAGGATACTAATTCAAGATCACATTCAACACTAGCTGAGGGTAGAGGTAATTTAAACTATACTGAAAATAAGGTTTTTGGACAAAAAAAATGTTTTTAGACTAGTAGAATTCATGATTGTTAAGTGCGATTCTACAGGATTAAATTTATTGCATGAAGAAAAAGAGCGTCTGAGCATTTCTGCGGACATACCATCACCTCTATATTCAACTGAAACCGTAAATACGAAACATAGGCAAGGATTGCGCACGCAAAATGTATCATCTGAGAGTTTAGAATCTCTTCAAAGGGACGAGGAGGTAATCGGCATCATAACAATGGAAGATGTCATGGAGGAACTGTTGCAGGTAACCAAGTTAGTAAATAAATTGATGAACTGTTTTTTTTATTTTTTATGGCAATATACATTTGAAATTAAACTAACCAGTCTATTTATTCTGTCTTCCAGGCAGATATACAGGATGAAACAGATGAATACGTCGATGTTCACAACAAGTGAGTGATGACATTTTTCTTGTTTTCTACGCAAACTCCACGTCTGTTCCAAAAATTAGAGCGAAACACTTAACCCGAATGACTCTTAATACTTTAATTAGTATTAATTATATTTGATCTTGACTACTTGCTTTGGTTTTTCTTTTTTGTACCACAGAATCAAAATCGACCTCCAACCATATTCAAGACGATCATCAGCCTCAAAAACTCTAAGCAAATCTGCGTCTCAGATTTATTGGAGAAATCCAGAGCCGTCTCTACTGTCTTCATACAGCACTTCTGCACCCGGGTCTCCCATTCATCCATACACTCAACAACCTATCATAAGACCTTCCCTGCATGCATCTGCAGGCCTGATTCGCAGCTGACCATCCTCGCATATAGTGAGTTAATATATCCAATCTAATTTTAGGCACTAAATGTGACGTAATATGACTATAATTTTGTAACATAAATAGGTTCGTTTTGTTTATATGAAATTTTTTTATCTTGGCAGGCTTCAAGAAAATCGAATGATGAGAAGCTGCAAAATCCTAGTGACCACAAAGTTTAAAAGGTAATAATTAATTAAAATAAATTAGTTATGGAACCGAACGTAACTAAACTTTCTTTTAAGTAATTTTGCTTAACCTGTAATAACATGCAACAGTACGAAAAAGTACCTCATACATTTACATTTTCACAATTAATCAAGCTTTATTGTTTGCAATTTTTTTTTTGTTAAACGATAAACTTTGTTAAATTATTGTTTGCATTTGTTTATGCTTCCTTTTGCATGCTTTTGAAGACCATCTTAATTTTAATTGATTAAACCAAATTAATTAAGTTATTACGTACATGATAAAATATAAGAAACAACGTGCACTTACTAACACAACAGTTGCTTAATACCTAAAATTAAAATTAATTCAACGCAATTAACGACAGATCTTACCAAACAAATTTGATCCTGTCCTCGGCTGCGTGCAAAATTGTAAATCACTCTCAGTTTGAACTTTGAAACATAAATGCGAAGAAGAAATTATCTTTTTAATTTGTTGACGGCCCAAAAATGAACTTCGAACTATTCCAGAAGATATGCACGAAGGCAAAACATTCGTAAATTACCTGTCTGATTTCGATCACATATTAGGCCTGATTTAGACTTTGTTCAGGTTGTCTTTGTTTTGGTTACGTTAGTGAGAAAGCAATGTCTTGCATGTAATTCAATATCCTAGTGGATAGAATATTAGGATTATATCCATGCTGCGTCCCGATATGAAATTCACCTCTATCTAAATTATGGTGATAGTTTTGAACTCTCCTCCTCCTCTTAATATTATTAAAAATTTATAAAAAAAATTGCTTTGCAAGTTATTGCTTGACCAATTTCTCTACAGAATGAGAAGAGGTGCAACAACTTCAAAATTGGATATGATCAACGAGAAATTGATCTTAATGAATAACGTTGTTCATACCATTTTATTTAATACACATTTTATAGGAGTAACAGCCACTTCTATATATTGTTGAAGTTCAAATACACACCTTATGATTAAAAGAAAATACTTTCATATTCTGGTTTCACGTGAGGAGAGAAATAAGAACAAGGTAATGACACTTGGGTATGGAAGCTTCTCTCCCTTTGGTTGAATGATAAAGCTAGTGATGACGTGGATCAGGACCTCCAGGAGAAAACCGCTTTGACTCGATTTGAGTTTTGCTTATACGTTCGCGCTTTGGCTTGCGTACATGGATTCTGTTTGCCTCTTCATTTCTGAATCCGATATCATATATTTCTTCCTTGGTTGTTTTGACCAATAATTTTCGAATCGAGTTGGCCTCAGGATTGAGAGAATGAGAATCAAACCTAAAATAAAAAAGCAGAAACAACATTAATACTGCATATATCACAAAACATCTCAAGGTAGACATTTCCTTCCTGTAGTACTACAAGATATGAAGACAAACTAGGAAGCTTGCTATATATAAGCATCAAAAAGTACTTTTTTCATTGTTTTATTCAAAGTGGGAATAGTAGACACTGAATGGGGCAGCATAAACTCGCCTTTCTCTTAATAGTGCATGTATTCTATTTCAATGTAAGTAAAACCTCTTTTAAGTTAGGGTAATGCTAGGAAAATTAAATTTTGTAAACTAAATAAATTAGAAGTTGATAATTCGATTATTACTTGAGCATTGATAAACGTGTTCATTCCTATTGATGAAACAAAATTTAGCTTATAAATTTTGTTTACAAATTAATCTTCCTAACATTATTCTTAAAGTTATAATCTCTCCGAAGTTATGTAGTTGGAATCAAATTAATTTTATAACTTTAGGAGGTTATTACTAATAGAGGCGTAGTTAAAAAAATATTATTTATTGACTTATTTATCCTTAATGAATAGTGTATTTCCTAATTAAAATTCCTTAGCCCTGATTGTTTTATTTCTTGAATATTTTTGTACTCATGTGAAGGTGTTTTCTTAAGATTGGACCAAGAAAAATTATAACTGATTATATTGTAGAGTTTATTCCATTACATATAACTGGTCCCAAGTTGGAACTGAAATTTTTTTGACTTATTCTAATATAAAGTATTGCTTTAGAGAGATAATTCACGTATATATCAAAACACGTACACTACTATTAGGAACAAATCACTCAGCGTGCGTACTTCCATAAAACTTTCGAATATTGAGCTCCATAGACATGCTGTACATTTTTTAGGGATCCCCAATCAGAGATTAATTAACCGCTAAAATATGTAATTACCTACTAATTTGATACTTGGCGCGCTAAACCTAATATTTGAGTAGGTCAACCTGAATATTTTTTTTCCTTTGATGTTCACCATTTAGAGGCTAGCTACGTGCCCTACAGCGTATTAAGATTGTCGCATCTTCAAAGGTTCATCCATCCTTAGCTCCATCTTCCCTTCGAGTTTTGACAATGCTTAATTTGGATTTATCTAATCAAGCATTGTTATGGATTGACATCGTAATTTAAGTAGGTTGATCAGTTTCTTTTTGTAATGTTGAAAGAAAAGTACAACGGGACAAACAGGTATGATACATATAGAATAATAATTTGGACATACATGAGGATACTTACAAGACCAACTAGAAACGTCTGGAAAAGATGATGAAGAACGGTGGAGGAATGGCGGGGGAATGCAGAAGAAATGTATATAAAATGATATACAAAATGAAACTATAAACTAATAAAGGTTTTGTAGCCAAAATAATTAATCATTGAGATTAGTATAACTTATACTTTGGCTTAAAATTGAAAACGATAGAAGTGATCTTTGAGTTTGTCTAACGTGATGACCTTTTAAAGGGTATTTTTGTCAAACCAACCCCTTTTTAGCTAAAAATGGTATCTGAGATTGTCATAATTTCTTACTCTGGTCCTTGACAATGAAAAATTGATAAAAGTGGTCCCTGAGTTTGTCTATCGTAAATCATTTTGGTCATTCCATGAAAATTTTGTCAATATCCTTGTTAAATTGTCACTTGAGCGACAACAGTCGACTTTTTTAAGGGTGTGTTTGAGAAACCAACCCCTCCACTTAACGAGGATAGTGACAAATTTTGTTAATAAAACTATTTAATTCATTTTGTGAAATTTTTTTTAATATTCTCATTAAGTGGAGAGGGTGGTTAGACAAAAATATCCTTAAAAAGGTGGTCACGCGATCGCTCACGTGACAATTTAACGAGGATATTGATAGATTTTTCACAAAATGACCAAAATTATTTACGATGTTATTTACGATGGACAAACTCAAGAATCACTTCTATCTATTTTTCATTGTCAATGACAAAGTGAGGAGTTATGTCAATCTCAGGAACCATTTTGGCTAAAAACAGTTGGTTTGACAAAAATATACTTAAAAATGTGCTCGTACATGGTCTCTCACGTGACAATTTAATGATGGTGTTGACAAATTTTTCAAGAATGACCAAAATAATTTACAGCGGACAAACTCAAGGACCACCTCTATTGATTTTCAATTTTAGGGATAAAAGTGTGAAGTTATGCCAATGTCAGAGATCATGTTGGCTAAAAAGAAAACAAAAATCATTTTAAGTGGTTTCATTTTTGAGAAATTTTCACATTCTTCCCCTCCCTCACATCATTTGTCTTCATCCATCATTTCCCTTTACATTTTTGTCATATATCTCAAGTATAAAAAATAAACTGAACCCTAAAAACGAAATAGTTATAAAATGATACTTAGTGTGCGTCGTTAATTTGCAAAGAGCACAATAAGTAGGTCAAGTTCTAATTTACCAAGTTGGTTCCTTTCTCACTTTATTATTGGATTTAGAGAGTTTTGCTTGTTCAGTGCAGAACAAATTACCCTAGCTAGGTTAATTTGGTGATAGGAAAGATAAATCACAATGAGATAAAGGTACAAAATATCTCTAGAGATCATGTCACCACCATCCATTTGGGATAAGGTTTTTAGCAATAAGACCATACAACTTGACTTGGCGTTATAATGAAGTAACCTAGCATAAGCCATGAAAACTCTGATTTTTTCCTCCCAACCATCTCTCTATCTTCCAAACTCTTTGCCATGGAAGCCCAAAACCCTAACCTTCCACCCCACAACCTTGCAGAACCTAGGCCACCTTAAAAGAAGTACGTACAAAACACATGCAAATGCAAAAGGCTTTGGCAGTGCGCCACCAGCCACGACAAAGGAAACGCCTACAAGCAAAAACTCAGGCAAAAATGATAACAACGACAGCGATGAGGAAGTTCCACAGGTCGTTTTCGAGAGGATGCTAGTGAGAATTATCGCCGCTGTGGGTCTCCCTTTAGCCACTGGCTTTGCGTTTTTGAAAGTTTTTGATGCGGTTAAGGATAAGCACTTGTGGGATGTGCCACTTTGGCTACCATTCTTGACGACCTTGTTGACTTTTGGGGCTTCGGCTCTTGGGATTGCGTATGGGGCATTGTCTACAAGTTGGGATGCAGAGAAAAAGGGTTCAGTTCTTGGATTGGAAGAAGCCCAAAGCAATTGGGTTGAGATGTGGAGGGAGGAAGATAAGAGTAATAATAGTAATAAATGATGGGTTAATTTTGGCCTATGTAAATTGATAGTTTCACGGTAACTTAAAGCACCATTAGTTAGTTTTTGTTCTCCCCTTAATCCGGTTGTGTAAAATTTTAAGTGAATAAATGATATGATTAATATCATAAATAAATGTACATTATTATTAAATAAACTTATGCGTACGATAATATAAATGAATTAATAATACATGTAGATACGATCACTACTTTAAAATCTACCCGTGTATGTTACCTTGAGTATGTGATGAATTACGCAGTTATTTATTGTTATTTCTATACATTTATTTAACTTCAAATCAACCGAGGACTATCGTTAACTTGCACATTAATCATGAAAAATATTAAACCATTGGATTAAGGAAAATGTTAGTAAATCATGTTTTTAGATTATATTTTGTAGATCACATGAAGTAGCGGTTGATTGTTGAATACATTCTTTAATGATTTAAACGATTAATTCAACCACTGCCGCATCATGTGGTCTACAAAATAGATTCAAGTAGATAGTCTCTAGCATCACCCTTGGATAAGTTTAAAACCTAATTAAGTTGAAAAATACCAGGAATACTATCTTTTTAAATCATATTTTGGTTCTTTATTTAAAAATTTAATAATGTGGTGGTTGATGGTTATATTTATTTTTTAAATCTAAATATGATTTAAGTAAATGATCTATCTAGCATTAAGTTCGTAGATGTATTAACTTACGCTACTATGCTATTAAAATATGAGTTGATGACACTGCAAGTTGTAATACAAGTAGGTGTTTAAGATATGAGGTCTAACAGTACATATGGATAATTGTCGTCTCTTGAGCATATATTATAAAGTTATAAAATGCTTCTAAATTCTCTAACTAATCAGCAATCATATTATATGCTCTAATTAAGTATTATGTTTTCTATTTTCTTATTCCGTGGTTCAATCTGCTAGCTAGAAGAAGTAAAACAAAATACACAACTTAATTAGACAAAACAAACTCAGAAAACAGTAACCAAGCTGTATTAGAAAACTTGGTAACAATACATACCACACAAATAATGCTTAATTAGTGCCGACTATCACATGATGGAAGCATTTTACCAACCGACGACGACGTTTTATGTTCTATGTTGATGTGGTAGAGATCATTAGATTAATCAACGAATATGGTATTAGCAGTTTAATTAATCAACAGGAAGCCTAATGTGATACGTCTACATATTATACCAATCCATCGTAGAATCCTAATTTCTCTGCTGATTGAGACATTTTTTTTATTGTATGTGTTTGCACATATGGAATTCTTCATCGCATTTTATATAATTAATCAATAAGAGTAATGTTATCTCATTTAAAAATATGTGGCTATTGGTACATTAACTCATCAAAACATGCAACTACGGTCATTTTCGTTAATTCCAAAATTTCAGCCGAACTGAATCACGAGCCACACACGTGAGGCTAAATCAAGAGGCAAATACTGTAAACCAAATGAAAAAATTGTAGCAATGGTCCCTCAACTTTCATCCAATTAGAGCAAAGATCCGTCAACTCTAACTCAAGTGCAATAATGGTCCTTCCACCATAACTTTCTTGACGAAAATATGATGGAGTTAATGAAAATGACCATAGCTAAACGTTTTGATGAATTAAGCGACCAATGCTCAAGAATTTTAGTTGAAAGACCGTTGCTATAATTGAATTGAGTTAAAGCTGTGATCTATAGCTACAATTTTCTCTTAATTGTAGCTATAGATCCCAACTTGAGTAGCAGATCGGCCTTGTTAGTTAAAGGCTAAAAGCCACTCCTTCCTTGTCGTTTTATTTGAATTAATTCAGAGCAAGCTCAATTTATATTTCAAGTGAGTCATGGAAATTATATATTAATTGTAAACTATTAAGTTTAATATATAGTTGAGATAGACATCGGGTTGCACTTCTCTTCCCAATCCTTTCTACAATTAATTATCTTACTCACTCGTTGTCAAATCATTCATGTCAAAAAATCATTCAATTTAAAATTTTTGTTTCTCAATCATAATACTCGACTTTTATTTTGATACGTTCATTGAGATCTATTAAAAATGACATGAAAGTTTTCAAGTTCACAATCAAATATAACGAGTGATTAAAACAAAAATAGTGCACTAAAAAAGAGTGCATCGAAATCACTTTATGCTCAAATATTAATGAAGCTGCTAATATAGTTGATTTTTATTCACTGATTATCCGAGTAAATACTATATGAAAATAAAAAGACAAAATAGCACATCAAAAATAGCACAAAGACTTCTAGATCATATAAAATTCAAGACCAACCACATTTTTCTTTTTTTTTTTTTTCTTTTTTTGGAAGACCAACCACATTTTTTTAACCAAAGTTTATCCCAATTTTACGCACTGTACATTTGATTTCTCTTCTTGATAAACACATCAACTAAATTTTGCCAACCATTTAGCAAATGACACATGCATTGGGATCCTCTTCTGAACTTTTTACGTAATAATATGCAGGCATTGGTGGATAATGAGCTTGGTAGGCCTTGATAAGCTCAGCCATTTCGTCCTTTGGATCTTTCTTCTTCGTTTCCTCCTTCTTTGGCTCCTCTTTCTTCTTCTCCTCCTTTGCCGGTCCGACCGAGACTATCTCCGTCCGGCAAAGCTTCTTCAATCTTCCCACCAAATCCACTGGATCTATGTCCCCTGTGACCGTCAGTTTCTTGTCCTTCATATCTATAGAAATTGAATCAAGCCCTGCAAACAGAAAATTCCGGTCACAAAATTAAATTAGTTCGTCACTCAAACAGACATGGATTCGAACTTGAGTGCAGACCAGCAAATTGCTTTAACTAACTTGGCTACGCCTAAGTCTTCTAATTCGAAACTATTGAAATGGGAGTGAAAAAGAGAGTAATATGGCCATGGAATTTATACCTTCAAGCCCCGAGACGGCCCTCATGGCTTTCTTCTTACCCTTCTCGTCGTATAATTCCAATTTCAACACTACTTTCTGTAATGAAACAAGATATTAGAATTTAGACTCACAAAAAATTATAGTCACAAAAAAAATAAGCAAGGTCAAAATTCAGAACCAAGTGACAAATTAGTGTAAAAAAAAGTATGGGTATCCAAGATTTTCGAAAAATTAAGTTTTGGGTTTACCCAAAAGTAGCATCATCAGTCATGAAAGCATATCTTTTATGTAAAAAAATCACATAAAAAGTTGTCTGCAGAAAGTGAACCCTAATTACCTTCATTTTTCTGTGGAGCTCGACGGATCTGACAGCAAGAAGTTGAATCCAAAACTTTAAATATTTCAGCAGAATCCAAAAGATTAAGAAAATAAAAGGAGATTATATTATGGTAGAAGTAATTAAGAGGGAGAAAGACGTTGAAAGTGTCTTGGTGAAGTGAGGAGTCCTTGGGGGATTGCAATTTATACTGAATAATTGAAGGTAGGAAAGAGAGGAGGAACTTACGAAGGAAGGAGCTGAGTCAACGCAACTAGTCAATAGTCTAAACGCTAGAAGTTCAGTCTACGGTCAACAAAATCATGTGCTAATTTCGGCTGCAAGAGAAAAGTAAATCAATTTTAATATTATCGGCATCATCGTCATCATGTAATCAAATACTATAAGCTTTAAGAGCTCATTTGTGAGTGATTTTAAAATAAGGGGCACTTTGATTCAGGTCCAAAAAATTCAGCTGTTTTTGAATTGGGTCCAATTTTATTTCATTTTCTATTACACCTGTTTTGCCCCTGGAATTTTTTTTTTTAATTCTTTAAATTTGAATTTTTAAAATTTTAATCTTCAAATACCTTTATCTACCTGTTTTTTTTAATTAAAAAGACATTATTACAAATCTTATAAGTTTATCAAAAATTAAAAGAAACATTGCTAGAGGTAGATAAAAAAATTTGTGATGTAGGTAGAATCTATGATAGAGGTAGCCTATGAACAAAAACCTATTGTATAGATAGGTAATACAAAATAATCTATGATACAGATAGACTATGAACAAAAACTTATTGTATAGGTAGATAACACAGTTAATTTGTGATATATAGGTAGATAAACACAATTAATCTTATATAGATTATCAACAAAATATGTAATATATAGGTAGATAAATACAATTATTCATGATACAGGCACAGTATAATATAAAAAGATAAATAAATAAATAAATGACAAGTGATATAGGTAGATAAAAACCAAAAAAAAATCGTGAAGAAAAATGATATTGAGGGAGGAAACACTAGAGAAAATGCTAATTCGATAGAACTTAAAAGTTAAAAAAAAAAACATATATATATAAAAAGGAGAATGAAGCCCAAAATATATATAGATATATATGAGACGAAGAACCCAAAACACAAGATTGACTAATACAAAAAAAAAAAATTTAAAAAAAAAAAAAAAAAAACCAATCAAATGTATATTGATCATCCTTATGAAAGGAGGAGCAAAAGAATAATATTATCATAGAAGACTACTGGGAAAAATAACAGAGGAAGAGAAAGATATTGTGAGGGAGAAACAAGAAAAGAGAAATGAACGATTTGGGGAAGGAGAAGAAAAAAAAAGGAGATTTAAATCCCTAATCCTATAATTAAGGATAAGATTAACATTAATCACAAACTTAAAAAAAACAGTAATTACTTAATTGGTCAATTTAAGGGTAAATTTGGCAAGAGAATACAAATAAGCTTATGTGGACAATGAATCACTAGACCTAACCTAAAAATTAAATATAATTGGACTATAACAAATAATGGCTCATAAAATTGGACTCATATTAAGTTTCCCCTTAAAATAATTAAAGTTGTTTATTGTGAAATTAATTTTAGAAGTATTTTAAGTGTTTTTTTGGAAGAAACATCAGATATGTGATTCTTATTGAAAGCATTTAAAATGTTTTTATAGGATTCTGTTGATCCTAAAAACTATCAAACCTACGTGGCACGTAGACTAAGTAATTAATAAGCTAACTACGTCATTCTGTTATGTGCGGAGCGTGCCAACTCGTCGGCCGGGGAGTAAAATATGTTGATGTGGCATTGAGCGCGCTGCTGACTTCTTGATCTCATGACTGCGACCCAGGAAGTAACACATATCGGCATTCGGGTTCCAGAGCCTGAAGACAAGGCTGCTAGTTTTGCGAAGTTCAAATATCAAATTCAGCTTTCAATGTGCCGAATGTAGTACCCTATAACACCTCACTTCGCCGAGAAGGCTGATGAGATGATGTCACGCCCCAATCCCGACATACGTCCAGAATTGACACGTGACGACACCAAAAATCCGTATCTATCATATTTCACCTCCGAGATATGGGCAAGCACAACTCAATAATCGAATCACATAGTTATTTTTAGTATGCTTTATGGCTACATCTAACCTCCCCGTTAGACTGCCTACGTACCCTAAACAGGGATCAAGCCATTCGTAGTTCGTCATACACAATAATTGACATATAACACAGTCCGATTAAGTCGAAAGGTATAACATTTCTCATTCAATCAATAGAACTTGACAAGCATGAAAATGCTAGACACAAGGTTACATAACAACCCATCTGAAAATCATGATTTCCCCTCCATCACTATATAGGCCATTATGTCACAACATGACACCGCAATTCACAACCTATATCATTTCAAGAACCAACGATGTACAATACCATTCTCTTGCCACATTTATCAACAAGTCTAGTCATAACCATAACCATGGCATCCAACATATCAATCCCACATGACGATTTACTTTTCCACTCCAACCATCACATAATTCATCACGTTTTCCACATAAAATTGCATTTCATAGTGTGTAACATAGTTAAGAATTAACAAAGTACACATTAATCTCTAGAAGTATTAATCAACTAAAATACTCATGATAACCCCACTCATATTCAACGTCATTCCATAATCACATCAATCAATAATGTCAACCATCACATCATCAACAACACATACAACAAGTCGAAGCGCAAATCTAGAGCAACACAATTCAGTTGAAGACTACATCTTTGGAAAAAGGGAAATTTTGGACCACCCAACGGAACCAAGGCATCAAAGGGGATTCCGGACCATCACTCAACGGAATCCAAACAGAACTCAGCTCCAGACCACCCAACCGAATTGAACGGAAGTCCAAGAAACATAACAACGGCTCGAAGGAACAAGACATGATTCAAGCTACTCAATTCCCAAAAACTCAACGAAACGAAACAATATCGAGCGACAAATCCACATCACAATGGGTTATCGGCCAATTACTTGACCTCACATCTCCCAAGCAATTCAATATGCATTTCAATCACATGTCACAACTATTTCCAATACACTAGTCACATCACATTTCACTTCATCTTACCAATCACTATACTTCCAACATTATATCTCAATACAAAGCTTGTAACATATCAAGGAATCACAAAGCATAATATTAATATTTAATTACGTTAATCAATCAGTGAGATAACATATCATTTCACGAATTTAGTTAATGAACTCTACATAATTCCCAATTTGGGTTAAGAATAATAACATGATAATTCTAATTTATTTTCACAATATCGATTGTGGGTAATTCCCATCTACTCGAATTTAGGATTCTAAATCACCTTACGGAATGAACTAGAGCAAGGATTCTGGACCACTCAACGGAATCCAACGACATTGGGTTCCGGACCACTCAACGGAACCAAAATATCAAGCGGTTTCCCATAATCTACCCAAACCTGTCATATGTAAAGTCAATGCCAATATTATGGAATTGGTGCACTGGAAATTCAGGCACTCAGATAAGCTGAGAGGCTCGGGTGAGGGACAATAAAATAAGCATGTGATACGATAATAAAACTAGCCGTCAATCATAATTTATAAACCTTGAATATAAATCTTTCATAAGAAATCAATACCAAACTTTTGAAAACTCCGAGGGAGTCACCCAAACATCCAAAAGTTCATTTCAAACAACCATAACATCTCACATCCATATTCACATACACACAATGAAAGTAGAAGTAGGGCGACACAGTTCATCCAAAGCCTATACCTTTGCAACCATCTCAAACTAAACTCAATGAACTAAGGTGGATACAATCCCGGACCATCACTCAACGGGATCGCGGAGTAAGAGGGATTCCGGACCATCACTCAACAGAACCCAAACCAAGATACGATTCCGGACCATCACTCAACGGAATCCAAACCATGATACGATTCCGGACCACTACTCAACGGAATCGCGGAGTATATTGCATAACCACCAATCAATGAAACAACACATGAATCAAGTTACTCAAGTTATAAAGGCTCAACGAAACAAGAGATGAAATAATGAAACGAGCATTGACACATGTTTCAAAACAACAAACCCATGACAATGGGTTAATGGTCCACCACTAGCCCTCACCTCATCAAATCAAGCCAATCATACAAACAAACCATATTTCTAATATGCACGTCAAATCCCACTTCATATAACTATAACATTGGCTAAATATGAAAATTAACAATTTATAGGAAAAATGATTATAAAACCATTTCATATTCACATATATTAAAGTCACTCACATTTCATCATAACATACCACCTATGTACATCAAACACCTTTCGAATATGCACGCCAATTCACATACCACGATCATCATCAATACACAAACCAAATCATGTTTGATAAACATAGGTCTATGGCTAAATATATACAAATATATATATATATATATATAATCACATTTCAATAGAATCACATTATAAGACCAAGTCAAATTCACCGATGATACCAATATAAGAAATCAAGGTAATGACCATATCACATATGTGCAAGTCACTCTCTAACCAATGTAGGCCCATTAGACTTCACTTAAGTCTCCCCTAGTACTAATTTTATTATTTAGAACGTTCCGAGACATGTTGACCACCATTCAACTCTCGGTCAACGAGGGGGTCCACAACAATCCGCAAATCAGATTTATGATTCATAACTTCCCAAAGTCCACATTATGCTTCGAGGATAACATACTAAAGTTTCATTATGATCCAATGGTCGAATTGTTGTCAATCACACAAACAAGTGGCGGTACAAATTGATCACCACACCCAACAATTGAATCTTTGGCAACCAAGCTAGACATAGGTTCACATGATCACTAGAAGGTATTTGAAACCTAGACAACACTCGTGAACGATTCCACGCACCGCCACACGCAGTGGAAGTCAAGATGGAGGGTTTACAAACCCCGAATTTCAACATTAACTAGATGAGCTCAAATTTACATGGTAGCTAGAGCTCAACAAGGGAAACACTTTTCACAACTAGACCGATGATAAATTCTAACCGGAAACCGTCCAATTTCACCGGAGAAAACCGGATTTCTAGGTGTTCTAAACACCCAACTCTAAAATGAA